TGCGTTAGTATTAGAAAAAATGAGGGAGATAATGTATCGGTGATAACATTCTCCTTACATTTCAGTTTATGCATGTTTACTAACGTGTCAGCATAATATTAGAAACAAGAAAACATAACTTTTCCTCGTTTAAAGCTTATGTGCCTGTTTTTCACTTTGGAAATAATTGCTGCTTTCTGCATCATTTTTCATTGAAATAAGTTAAATAAATTTCCATATTTCACTCACAATTTCAGCCCCATCACAGCTCCTAACTTATTTTCCACCAACGCCAATAACTGTTATAGTGGACGTCGTAAAATATCACCTTTGCATATGTCAAAGTATAAGCGCCTTGAAATGTCGCGATTATCCAAAAACGTCAATTTGCCAGACGGCGAAAATACGGTTCATAATGTTGTCACGGGTGATATTGATGTTTATGGTGATACTGCTACTGGTGCCGAAGTACTTCTCAGTGAGCTCAGGGTTTCACCATTGTTGACGTATACTCATGCTTTAGGAGCATTGCAGCCAAGGTATTAAAAATCAACTGTAAGCTAGGTGCAATACTTCAGCTTTTTGTATATTTCTTGTGAACTTTTGGTATTTTGAATTTTCTATTGAAACAGGAAATTTGCACGCCTTTTCATATATTTTCCTTAAAATTTTAATATTGATTAAAGCAGTTCAGAAGTGAATGAAATAATTAGCCGATCTCGTTACTTTTTTGTGCATGATTTTCTGCCCCTTGATTTTTTTAACACTTTTGATAAGGAGGAATAAATTTATAACTGAAATTAAAGTTACGAATAGGGTTGACAATAATATTAAAAAATTTAAAACTATTCTATCTTTTTATCTTCGTGCCTATCTCTGGAAGTATTAAATTTTAAACAATTTATCACGATGATTATTAGTCGATATTTATACAGAATATTTAGAAGTATGATTGCAATATATCCCTACTGTGTAAGATTATGGTATCTGCAAAGTGATAGCAATGAAATAGTGATCATTTAACATATTGCTCCTTTTTTTTTTACGAATTTCAAAATTTCCAGTCGACGAGTGAAAACGCTTTACGCATGCACAGCAGGTCACAATACCGAGTTGTCTTTTCAGCCTGGACAAATTATTACTAATGGCTAGTTTTTTTTCTTAAAATTGTATTTACTCCTAAATCAGTAATACCCATTCTATATAGGTGCTACTTTTCCATCAGCAGACACGTGTTTGAAATATCTCTGACTTTAGTCCAGAATACGATCTATTTTGATGTAAATTTCTTACTGATAATTACTGGCATAAGCTTGTAAGTCAGGTATGTATTTGCAGCAGTCCTTGTCTTCAATAACAAGATAACTCAGGGTAATCCTTTTTCTATAGATATGACTGTATGCTGGGAATTTGCTATGCATATGAATATCCTAAAAGAAGCACGTATAAAAATTTTTTGAAATAAGTTCAGTTCTAAGCATAGTTTCATAGACCAATATGGATTAGCTGGCTTCAATTCTCCTTTTTCAGTATGGCATCTGATGCAATCATTATTCAAGAAAAATGTGCAGCGCTCTTTGATCTTTCTAAGTTGAACTTTTTCCTTAGCAAAATCTTAGTTCAATTCTTTACAGTTTATGAATCAAAAGAAGATGGTTGGCTGATTGGAACTTTAAACGGAAAAACTGGTCTCATCCCAGCGAATTATGTCGAACCACTTCCCTAATTTGACACTTATTGTTATTGCATTATTCATTTTGTTTACTCTCACTCTGCCTGTAATCCGTAAAAGTAAAAGGACCCGGTTATCAGGCATATATTTTAGCATTAGGATTAATATATGTTTTTGCTTCTGCTTTTTGATTAAGTTCTATATTGAAGATTTATTTATTATAATCTAATTCCTCATTTTATTTTTTATTTGCTTCAAGTTTGTTTCAAGCTCAAAATTTAATTGGTAATAGGTAATTTTCCGATAAAAATGAGTCGTTCGAAAAAGAATTTTTATGGATACAAATATATTTTATGGAGTTCCGGAGGTTCTACTGAATTCAATTTCATCATGGTGAGCTGGAAGATTTACATTCCATTTAGTATCATTAAATTATCAATCTTTTGGTCTCATTGGTACATCTTTCCCTGAAATGTTGAGCCGATTAATAACAAATGGTGTAGAAAATACTGGCACATCTTGTGCTCTACTCTTCTGTACATTCCTAACAAAGGATACCATCGTTTATAGGTTGAAAAAAATGAACTCACATTGTTTGCAATATAGCACACGAAGGTATCGGGATTGTGAGATTGTAGGTATTCCGTGATTAGCTATTTGTAAACAATTGAACAATGTCATGTACATTCGTATTTTTCCCACGTTCATATCTTACTGAATCAGCCCGTCTGTGCTATTTTCGTTTGAAGTATATTATTATTCTCATTTTTGCGTTACTAATTTCTTTTCTCGTTTGTTGTCATCTTATTGTTTTCCTTCACTTGTTATTTGACGTGTATTTCTTGCTTTATTATTTTTCAAATTTTATTTCAGTTTGATGTAATATGAAATTATCTCGCATATATGTAATATCATACTTCTATTATCTGTAAATCATGCTATTTCTCTCCATTTCTTTATGGGTTTGTTTCCATGTATAAAGAAATATAGTTTTAATTACCGAATACATCTTCTTTTATTTACTCATGCACATAGTCTGTTACTTAACATATTTCCTTCATAATGCTATATTAATTCTCTTTTAGTTTTGCTAATTTGAAAGAAACTAAACTATGCAACGAACCGGCACAGCAACTCCTATCCCAAAAATGCAATTCCTTTTAATATGGTTACTTACTTCGCCCAAACAACTTATTTATGAAGAATACATTTCCACCATGAACAATCATTTGGAAGATTTTCACACCAAAGAGTGTATTATTAATCCTCTTACAGCTGGGGCAATTACTAGTCCTAAACCTTCCCAACATTGTCCTAAAATGAATGGATCAAATACTGGTACTGGAATATCCAAGATTAGATAATTGTATGGCAAGGTAGACGAATATTTGAAAGAAATTTAATTAGTTATTATATCATAAATAGAATATGGAATGGAAATCTTATTTCAGCTGACGCATGCAGTTTATTGACTTTCCTCTGCTTACGATTTTGATAAATTCTCAATTTGAATCTGTAAATAATCTCATCTTACGAGCGCAAATTATTACAACACGAAGAAAAAGTACGGCAAAAATCACCTGGCTTTCCGCTGAAGGTTTAATACCCAGCATATGACAAAAGAAATAATAGAAACCACTCAGTGTCACCTCATTCGCAAAAGAACCTTTGAAGCCGTGTGCTTCACCTGAAATGGTGATTCAAATGCCTGGACAACTGCAAATCTGTAAGTTACAGATACGTGTGACACGCAAAACGATGCATATAGCACTGAATAACAGATATTTTTTTCTCCATAACAGATAATCGATCCAAATTACCTGGGAAAACAGTCAATGAAGTAGGCACTCCTTTCATTTTTAATGCTTCATATAATTGCATACTTTGTGTGAGTGGTACTACGGGATCATCCTCACCATGGAAAAATGCAACTGGTGTTGAAAGCTGGTTAATGTGACTAAACGGTGATCTTTGTTCATAAAGAGCTCTCTCTTCCGGAAACTTTCCAATGAGTTGTTCATTGTAACCAAGCTCAAATTTGTGAGTATCCTGAATGAAGTTTTTCCAATATATATGTAAAATGCCATCTGCTTTATTAAGGTCTATTTATTTCACTAAATAAATTCTTAATGTTTCCAAATTTAAACTCACTTTCGCCAAACCAATCAAATCGCTCACACCGTAAAGTGAGGCTGCTGCAGAAAATAAATCAGACTTTAAAAGAGTGGCTAGAAGAAGATAACCGCCTGCTGAACTACCCATAATACACAATCGTTTCGGATCGACTCGCTTCTGGGAAATTAAGTAACTAGCAGCATTAATCATATCATTCCTGTCAGCGATACCCCAATTACGTCGTAACATATTACGGAAAACTGTCCCGAATCCTGTAAATCTAATCATTCATTTACAATCTTCATTATTTGGAATATTCCTATCCTAAAACAAGTATTTATCTGCATGTGTCTTCAAATATTCAAACACATGCATTTAAGTATCTACATGAACTCTCAGGTATTCAATGCAATGCTACGATTGCTTTTATGTAGGAATAAAAATTTAAGACTTAAAGTATCAAAAATCGAACCAGTAGAACCGCGATAATTTACATCACAGACAGCGAAACCTCTTGTAGTTAGATACTGAATTTTCATATCAAGAGTGTTCGAAGAATAAGCTGTGGGACCGCCATGTGCGACTAGAACGACAGGTGGCAAAGTACCTTCTGGAGCTACATATGTTTTGGACTGAAAAAACTTCAGTGTTGAAGAAGAAATGGATGATTTTAACTCATATGTTGGTATTTAATTGAGTTCGAGAAACTAGTTTTAAATCCAGGAAATAGTTCATCCAAATAGGATAATTCAGTACTAAACTTTTTCACAGTTTGGACCAAAACTGATATTTATCTAAATAAAAGAATATATCACGACATTTAGAGTAACATTATAAACAGTTCTTTGGAGTTGTAAAACGTGCTCCGAAAAAAAAAGAAAAATAAAAGATCCCTGTAAATTGTTGTTCTTTTGAAGAAAAGATACTAAATACTAATTTACAACCTCTGACTTATAATTTGGATTTGCAAATTTCTTTTCAAAGGTGCGAATTTTTTAAAGGCCATTCCAGTAAAAAAAGCATATCATCTGATGAAAATTCTTACAAATGGAGGATAAAACCACGCTTGTATACTAATATCATCTGACTGAAAATATATCGATTCCGGCATTGAAATATCATGCTTGTCAATATCAGAGGAAGATCGTGATTCTCGAAGAACAAACATCTATATATAATATTTATAGTTGAAAGCACGAGCTAATCTAGGTATTTGCTACCAAAATTGCACACAAAACTTGTTCAATTACTGTTTGAGCGACATAAGTTTAACTGTTCCACTTCATAAGAAGAAATTCTTTATCCATACTGAACAAGTTTTCTTCTGCACACTTTCCTTACATTACTGGATAAACATCAGGAAATGTTTCAAATGATAAGAAAGAGAAACACTACATAACTCATAATGTAAAAGAAAAAGTTACACAGAAAAAGCTACATCCATTGAATTTAATAATGCACCTGTGTTTTGAAGAATACTGACCTGATTTGTGTCGAGCTGAATTTTGATTACTGATGACGATTTGGCCGGACCTGAGGCAATTGCATAAGCAGTACCACTTTCATCTAGGGCGAGGCATTTGAAACTGGTGTAACATGAGCAATCAATCGCTTTCACTTTTTTATTCCATTCCTTATACACCAATTTCCCAGAAACATTCATCAAAATGCCTATAACATTGCCAATGTATGGAAAAACATTCTCCCGCTGTAATACAAAAAAAAAACGCAAATAAAATATAAAACACCTTCAACTTAGAAGTGAAATAATACGCATGTTATTTCATTATGTACTGTTCTGTTTAAAAAGATATTGATGTAACAAACTTAAGTTAATCACAAGATGAAAATAACCCTTTTTATTTGAAGCAAAATGTCGCTCAGCAAACTGCCAAAGTGGAGCACCAATTTCGGCATTAACTGGAAATATATTCTGGTCCAATTTACGTTCAGTTAAGTTGACCTATAAAATAAGATTAACAAAAATTAACATTCCATTCTAACATTAATGAAAATCTGACTTCATTTAGACCAAGTCAGAGTATCAGTCCGAAGAACAATTTTTTTGAGGGAAATATATATCTTCTCATGAAGATTATTTCTTTAACATAAAATTGAAAAAAAAAAACCTCGTATATATTCCACCAATTAGTATGATCCGAAATTAAATACAAATTGCCAGCTGAACTCCATTCCGGACTATGATAATTGATACCTTCACGAGAAATTCGGCAAGTCTCGTCAATATCACCATTTTCTTTAATTGAAGAAATAACAACTGTTGTTTCGTCCCATGGCTGTGAAAAAAAAACAGGCGAAAAACCTTAGTCTGTGATATTCACTTAATTTTTTTTAAGTTACAGTTCACTTAATTTTTTCTCCAGATTTTGGAATTTTTATTGCCAATTTACACAAGGCATTAAATGATTGTGAGCTTTTGAGATATACTTATGAAGATTTTGTATACTAACGCGACATTAAATAAAAGTGTTGGACTTAACAATGGAAGATTTCTGTTATAATTTTTATACCAAACGGTAAATTTCACACCATATTCGGCATATTCCATTCCATCCATGTGAACCATTGTCCATCAGGACTTATTCGAGGAAACGCATAAAAATCTGCACCAGTGACCTAAGTATACATTAGTGTTATATATCGCAAGTTTATTTTAGAGTTTTAATTTTAAAAATATAAAAATAGAGCTAAATGAATTAAAACTAATAAGTACAAAGAAAATCCACTTAAAGTTACTTACGATAGGATGAACGGCACCTTCTACAATTCGTATGATCATATTTTCCACCTCGTTCCCAGAATGCACCTCATAAATAGCAAATAAGATACCCTTAAATTTATTACTGATTAGGTGGTTACAAAACTTTATTGATATGAATTTTTATGAAATTACAAAATTATATCACACGGATACCGCCACGAAAAGGCTAGCTATATCAAAGTATCATTATCAACTACCAATTTTTCAATATATTTGAAAAACGCATAAACTACCTTGTGATAACACAGATCTGCGAAACGATGTGAACGATCACCAGCAACAATCAGCTCGGGTTCATTACCTGCAGCTACTTGCCTAAATATGCCATCCTGAGTAATATAATAGGGCGCATCATCGACAACAATAAATGATCCGCCACCGTATTCATGTACTGAAACCGAAAAAGGACTAAAACACAGATTTAAAATTCCCCTTTTCAAACTGCTTCTGTATGATCATCTAAGAAGAAAATATATGACGCTTAACATTGATGAATGGCTTAAATGTTGATCTCAAGTTTACTTTCTGAGCAATACTTGTATTTTTTTTCCTGTTAAATTCTCTTCTTAGAAACACAATTCATAAGCCTACAGAATTTTTCTAAACAATGAGTAAATATAAACCACCTGTATTCCTTACGCTAATATCTTGCGGAGTCCATTCGATTATTTCATTTTCATCCTTTTTTGCCTGAAACAATGCTCGCCGGCCAGTAGGAAACTGTGATTCCACCCAAAATACTGAGTCTAAAATGATGTTTATGAAAACAAACAGTCAACAGCATGTAACATTCAGCAGTAATAACAAAAAAAAGTCGACCGTGAAATATGATAGAATAACTGTAGTCCTTCTTTTCAATTAAGCTAAGAATCTGCTATATTTTACTGATTTCAAATTTATTGAGCCATTTGTTAATCGGTTAGATCCAATGGCTTGACAATTGTCAATATGATCACAGTAGAAACTTTTACTAATGCTCGATTAAAGATATATCTGAGCAGACTGCGCTATTAGTAAAATAGTTGACCAACTATTATCATCAATACAATAGTTGAATACTACTCAATGATAACAAATAAAATTTACTTTCACCACATTGCAATTCAGAAATCATTTTACAATTTCCACTGCTCGAAATACTTGCATCGATGGAACTCCACCAACTTCCATATTCAGCTATTATTTTTTTTGAATGACTCATTGTATCCAGCATTCGATTATTATTAGCAATTAAGAACTGAAAATAAAACGAGAAAATCTAGAAATATACGAAACAGATTTCAGAGATATATAAGAAATTAGCAAAATAAATGTATTTATTTCTGCAACTAACATGCTTTCAATAAGTGCATTTTTCATTTCCAAAACGTTATTTCTCCCTGCTATGCCATCATTTCTCATCTGATTATTCAAGTACAACCAAACTACCGCCACCTTCCTTGGTTTACACACAGTTTCACACTTGTCGCATAGAATTGATATGAGACTGGGAATCTCGTACACCTCTTAAAGTGAGCTTTCTGGTCGGTAGTGTGAGAGAGGTGAAGCTTGCGAGAGAGTCAGCATGTGGTAGCTTGAGAATGATCGAGTTGAAATATATGGTGACTTAGATTTAACTTATGTGCTTTCTGAGGTTAATTAAAATGCTGAATTTTAAGGGTGCAATAATTTCACCTCTTTTCTTTAATTAGTCTTTAATTTTTTTTCATTAGATTTCTGCTTGTGTATATATCGTTTTCTTATATGAATATATATGTGTTATATGTTGCTTTCTTTATATATATATATATTAATTGACAGATTATGTCAGATTATATTCTTGTACAACACGAATACTATTCAATGACTTTTTTATAATAACATGATGCTTCATTTTGAAAGAAAAGTAGTTTGAATAATAATTTATCAGATAAATTCGTTATAGATAAGCGTGAAATATGGCATCGATTCTTTGCTTGAATCCTAAAGCTGAATTGGCTCGCCATGCAGCAGCATTAGAATTAAATGTGAGTGGGGCGAAAGGGCTAATGGAAGTGATGCGTACCAATCTGGGACCCAAGGGAACAATGAAAATGTTGGTTTGGTTCATTTAAAGAAAAAGAAATATTGATAAAACAGGCGGAGAAGTGAAATTAAAATCCGATATGTAACTTGCTTTGTATGATCTGACTATGCATTGAAATTGATTATAATTTTGTTTGACACAAATCATTTCATGTCTTACAGGCTGGTGTCTGGTGCAGGTGATATTAAGTTGACCAAAGATGGTAATGTATTGCTACATGAAATGGTTAGTTGATCGTACCTAAGATTGTGGTCGTCTTCACCTTGATAAGCAGACAACAAATCTTATATAAAGTTGTAGTTAAAAAAAAAATCTTATATAGTTAAAAAATCTTATATAAAGTTGTAAATTTTCTCTCTCAACTTTTTATTCAAATAATATTTACTTGTAGCAAATTCAACATCCAACAGCTGCGATGATTGCAAAAGCTACAACGGCTCAAGATGATGTGACTGGTGACGGCACCACTTCTACTGTTCTTTTCATAGGAGAACTCCTCAAACAGGCTGATCTTTATGTTTCTGAAGTATGTGTAAAGGAACTATTATTGCAAGAGTTTTATTTTATCTTTTATTTTCGAAAATTCCCAGTTTTATTCTTTATCAACATTTTAGCGTTATTTATTTTAGGGTGTTCACCCAAGGCTAATAACAGAAGGCTTCGAGTACGCGAGTAAGAAAACTCTTGAATTTCTGGAAAATTTCAAACAAACACCAAAAGTTGACCGTGAACTACTGGTCGAGGTATTTATTAATATATTTTCAAAAGTTATTTTAGTGGAATTTCATTTCACTTTATTATAAATAATTTCTCATTGCAACTGCAAAAAATGGCTGCATAAAAAAAGATCACATAGGTCTGATTTTATCTCTTAGACAACTGCTATTTCATATTTTTTGAAATAAGAGGTTTTGTAAATATAAGAAATATGCTTATTTAGCTAGTTTTGTCGAGAAGTCATTACTTTCACTCTATTTTTTGTTAAGAGATTAATTCATTATATGAAGAGAAGTTGCATCAGTATAGGTTGCACGAACTTCACTGCGAACAAAACTTAATCAGAAGTTAGCTGATCACATAACGGACTGTGTTGTGGATGCTGTGTTGGCAATACGAATTGGAAATGATTTGCATCCAGATTTGCATATGATTGAAATGCAGGTGCGAGTTCAAACGCGATAAACATAATTTATTGGAATGAATTATCTGAAGATACATGCCATTTGGAAGATGAATTTACTGGTTTTCTTATTTGGATCAAGTTTTACGGCTTTCAACTTGTAGTTGCATATGAACACTCATTATTCCATTAATATACATAGAATAATTAACATAGATGAATGTAAGCAATCGTGCTTTTGAAAAGTACAGTATCTTTAATGAGAATATGGTAAATGAAAAGGCATCAAGTGAATTCTGATTTTTAGGAGATGCAACATGAAAGCGATATGGATACTAAACTGATACGTGGATTAGTTTTGGATCACGGCTCTCGACACCCTGATATGCCGAAAAATGTCAAAAATGCTTTCATTTTAACATGCAACGTTTCTTTGGAATATGAGAAAACGTCATAATTTTTTTACTCATATTCTTATTTTCATTGTTTCCCAAACGTTTTTTCACTTAATTCATCTAATTCTATGGTATTCATCAGTAATATTCCTCAACAGGGATATTAAAAGAGTGTATGCATGATGTTAAATTTTAATAGAAAAAAATTTTAATAGGTTTAAAAAGTACTAAATATGTTTTTGTGGGCACTGGAAAATTTCTTTTTAACATTCTTTGCAATAAGCTCATTGCTTAGAATATCTATTACAAATAAAGGAATCACTGTTAGATGATACTAAGTGTTTCCAAGTATGAAATGAATTATTCATTCACTTTCAGGGAAGTGAATTCGGGCTTTTTTTACAAGTCAGCATCTGAACGAGAAAAGCTTGTTGCTGCTGAAAGAGAGTTTATTATGCGCAGAGTCCAGAAAATTGTTGATCTGAAAAAGAAAGTGTGTGATGAGGCAGAAAAAGCTGATGGAAAGAAACGTGGTTTTGTGGTAATTAACCAAAAGGTTCGTCGTATTTTTCTGCAGCTTATATGGCTTCCGGAATATTTTACATAAAATTGATACTTATGTAAAATTTTGAAGGCAGAAAAGATATTTGTTAGAGACAAATATAATGTAAATTACAAAATTACAGGGTATTGATCCACCATCATTAGACATGTTAGCGAAAAATGGTATTCTGGCATTGCGGCGAGCAAAGCGACGTAATATGGAGCGACTGCAATTGGCTGTGGGGGGTGAAGCAGTGAATTCAGTTGATGATCTTACAGCAAGTGTGCTTGGACATGCTGGCACAGTTTATGAGCATGTTTTAGTAAGTTTTAGGACAACTGTCAAAAGTTGCTGGCGCAGTTCTGATTCTGATTCATTAAAAATGTTCACAACATTTGAGATTTTATATTGATTAATTATAAGATTTTATAAGGAAGTTGTAATATGTGATTAATCCAAAGAGTTCTGATATTTTGGAGTGTAAAAAGTACTTTTATTATTTAAAACAATACTAAAATATTCTAACAACTATATTCTCATATATTTTCCGCATTATTATTACTGCTGTTAATGGTTTCAGTCTTTTCGGCTTTGAACTTTTCATATTTAAATTATTTATTATGAATTCATAGTTTTGCATTCTTTGTTTATATGTTTTTCATTAGTCTTGGCAAAGATACAGCTTCGTGAAAATAGTTGGGATGAAACTATAAGTAGAAGTTACAACATTTTCTATAATTATGTTTTATTAATATCTTGGTTATCTACAGGGCGAAGACAAGTACACGTTTATTGAAGATTGCAAAGACCCGAAATCAGTAACTATCTTGTTAAAAGGACCCAACAAACATACAATTACACAAATTAAAGATGCTCTTCATGATGGCATTAGAGCAGTTTTCAATACATACAGTGATCGTAAGTTCTTTCAAAAATATTTTTATCATTCCAATTTTACTTCAGTTATATTGAAGATTGCAAAGACCCGAAATCAGTAACTATCTTAAATAGAATTACGATTATAATATGAAAGATTTTGCCGAATGCGTTTTATAAAATATCCCGCAGTGACCCTCTTTAAGTGAACAGAGTCATTTCAGTAACCGTTGTTCTAGGCTTATGCAGAGAATAGATTAAAGAAATAATTTATTAATGTTATCGTGAATTCATCGGAGAATGGATGCGAACTGCGGCGTCTTAAAAAAACATGCTTTATTAAATTGTTGAATCATTTTCATTTTCGATGTTTCATAGTTTATAACATTTGTTTTATATGTATTTACTTTTCTTGTAAACGTAGTAAATGGGCCATTGGTTCGTATTGCAGAAGCAGTTGTACCAGGAGCTGGTGCTTTTGAAATTGGTGCACACTGCATGCTGAAGAATGAAGTGGACAAAGTAAAAGGCCGAGCCAAATTGGGAGTGCAAGTAAATAGAATTACGATTATAATGTAAAAGATTTTGCCGAATGCGTTTTACAAAATATCCCACAGTGACCCTCTTTAAATGAACAGAGTCATTTCAGTAACCGTTGTTCTAGGCTTATGCAGATGCACTATTAGTAGTTCCAAAAACACTAGCAACAAATGCAGGATTTGATGCACAGGAAACAATAGTGAAATTAATAGAGGAACGGATTGCTTGCAAGGGTAAAATGCCCGTTGGCTTGGACATCATATCGGGCGAACCGTGCAATCCTCAGGTAACGCTGACTTTTCATATTTGAGAGTGTGGAAGATTACCTAAATTTTACAGGGGCCTAATTTTTACCAGATTTTTTTAGTTGTCACGCCATCATCGAATAGAGCACTATATCCAATTGTAGTATGATTTCATATAGAATATGATCATGTACTGAACTTCTATATAGCTCCAACTGCTTTTTTTAATAAGTTATGTAGTTATTCTTAGATTGTTTGGTACGTGTTTCAAGAATTTGGAGCGATAGTTATCCATTATTAAATTTTGTAACCTAATTTTATTTGGAAAATGGTTTAGCTGTTGACCAGAGGGAGAATTTTTAGTTAAAATTTTTTATGGATTTTCATTTATTAAAATTGAAATATGTAAATTTTTAGGGTATTTGGGATAACGTTGTCGTCAAGCAGAATAGTTTGGCATCAGCCTGTGTGATCGCGTGTAATTTGCTTCATGTTGATGAAGTAATGCGTGCTGGTATGACAAACTTGAAAGCTGGTAAATAAATGGAAAATGATCGTTAGTCGCGAAATGTCTATTTTGCTTTCTTTATCGTTCCATTGTTTAATTGTCTCATTCCGATATGGATTGCCACACTTCTTGTTCGTGGTATGGACTTCCAGACAAAATTTTTGGGGATGGGTTTCCCCTTTGTTCCGCACTTCTTTGCACTTTTATCTCTTACTATTCAAGTCTCCGTGAAAGATAATTTAAGAATTGTAACAATGCATGTGATTAATATTTCTTTGTCAAAAAAACTAGGCCAGGAAATATTTGTTTGCTTAATTTCAATAAATGTTGATTGCAGTTAATGACTAGTTCATCATACGTTATATATTTAATTTAAATGAAACAAAAAAAAATATGAAAGAAGTTAAATGGAATGATGTACAACTGCTTCATACTGTCTTAGTTCTGTTAAATCTTTCATCGCCATGTGACCATTCCTATCGGATACCCAACGACCATTCATTCCTGGTATGCGACTAGTCGGTTTGCCCCAGGTCATTCCTCGAAATAGTAACACTTCATCTACTGAAAAGGAAGGATGTATTTTCCTACAATTTTGTGTAGTTTTCTTTTATCCTTCAGTTTTGTTACGACGGGAAACTGTGTGGTATTCAATTTATTCCAAAGGATTAAGCTTTTAATTTCACAGTTTCCGGCCCCAAACAATAAGCGATTACCATCAGACCACATAGCATATACATGATCAGCTTCCCGGTTCGAGTCATTATTCAAATTCTCCAAAAAGGCGGAGTAGTTTTTTTGTTTGCATTCGGAGTCCGGATATGCACAAATTAACTGTAACAAGATGTTTTCATCTGATTGATTCAAGATTTATACTGATTATTTATGAAAGAAAAAGTACCTGTGGCAATCAACGGAGGTATGAAAAGTTACTAGACATTAATACGATGATTTTCTGTTTTGTATAAATATTTGGTCGGAGTTGGCAATATCGGTAATTCCGAATTTTTAAATCGCTGCTAACTGAAGCTGTCATAAAAATGTTTTGTAATTTAATGGTTATTGCTCAAAGCGTAGTTTGTTCATGGATACATTTAATAGTAAATTGCAGAAATTGGCAGCAAGAAATAAGCATCGGAAGATTGGAGAGTGTGAGTTTGTAGTAATGAAGGGTTTACCTGATCCTCACACGTATATCCGGGATACAAACCATCCAAAGCATTGCACCAGGCTGGTATCGTTTGTGCCAGTTGACAAACGCAAAGACCATAATTGGCACCAGAAATACCCAAAAATGTATCAACTCGATGACCCAAAGGTTTCCCAAGAACACAATTTCCATCAGTTGCTATCAGGTTGCCACCTTTCAGAACTTTCCTAAAAAGAAAAAAACAAAAAAAAAAGTCCTTCCATTTAATGCCTCATTTTAAACTTTTATTATTGCTGTTAAATTTATCAATCCAAACTAAAAGCTAATTGACCAAATTGCATTAAATTATTTGGAACTTCTATAAATATGTTAGGTTCTAATTAATTCTTAGTTAATATTAACTGCTTGCTAAACCTATTGTAGTCGGACGAGACCTTTAATTTAGTGTCATTAAACTTGGTCGACTTTTTATTTTAAAAGTGTGATGAGCCAATATCTTTACTGTGCAAGAAATCGAAATTTTTCCCTTATTTTTTGAAAATTAGTTCTTTTCGTATTAATTAATAGAAAAATTGGTAAACCCCAAAATACCCTTTCAGTAAATCAAAATAAAACCTTTTTAATGTCATACAAAATACCCTTTTAGTAAAATTAATGGCATACATTTAAAACTCATTACAACACATCTCTTAGACACATGATTATGTGCCAGACATAGCTTCATATTGGCCACTTTTCGCAGAAACAGATTCTCTACATCTACTGCTTTCCAGATTATCAATACTTTTGAATCTATTTTTCATTCTTACATCAAATTTCCAAAATCTTCTATTTCTAATTAAAAGTTTACTTAAAATTATCTCATAACTGTTGAAAATTTGTAAATGTGAAAGAGGAAGATTAAATTCTCAAATCTTTTGTATAGTGTCACTTTGATCGAATATGCTAAAATGTTTAATTTTATCTGAGATTCTATGCTATTGTATAAAAAGACTTCCATTGTTTAAACATCCAGTAAATTTTATAAAAATTCATTAAAAAATTTACCTCATTAGTGGTACGGCAAGAGAATGTGCAATGACATCAACCTTTGATGCACCAGTGTAATCCAATACAGCAATTAGAAATTTCCTCAAATATATAAGATTTGCACATGTATGCATGGTACTGTAGGTAGTCAAAATACTTCCACCTGCCCAGGTATCACCCCAGGTTGTTGCATATAATTCGGCTGAGGTATAATTCTGCTCCAAGAAATACTGAATTGATCGTGACCAACCGGTTGCCAGAGGTGGTTGTATGTATAATGCTGCATCGGCATTACCGTGTACAAAAATTACTGGCTCCCGTAATATCTGTAAACAGTTTCGTTCGGAAATTGGAATGTTTCAATTTTATTTCTGATCTAATCTGTTTTTGAAGATGATAAAATTGGAGACATTTTTCATTGCGTTTTTTAAAAAGTGTATATGGTTGAAGGATAAATGATTAGTTTTCATATTCAAAGTCATTTCGTTAACATCAGATCATTTCTTGGAAAAAAATTTCTTGAAAGAATTAAAGTTCATAGAGATACCTGATTGCTGTTGACTTTTAAGAAATATTCAACCCAAACTAAGCAATAAGCACATCTGTTAGAAAATCATTGAAAATATACAAAACAAAATTCTTACTTTTTGTCCTTTTTTCTTTCTACCACCAAAGCTACCGCTTGGACCAATATCTGGCCGATCAAAATTTAAACCCTCATAACCATTTGCAACAAGCCAATTTTGAAAATCATCGGTAAGTGGTCCACTCGGTCGACTTCGACTACTCTGTCCTTTTACCAATGAGAATAAGTGTAATATCAAAATCAAAATACGCCTACAAAGAAATCTCACCAAAAATCACACCCCAAATATTGCTTCCATATATAAGCGGAAAACTTAATAGTTCGATCAAATTCTATATCAATCAATATTTATAATATCACATAAAGATGATACCTTACAGATATTTAACTATATATATTCTGTGTTTGATTAAAATAAATTATTAATCGAGATATAGATAGTTTGCAAATATGACAATCTCTATCCCAATTAATATATTTATTCAATTATTAAATTCCATTTAAGATATAACTATTTTTTTCGGAGTAATGCATGAAACATTTTTTACAAAACATATTTTTTCTGCATTCTTTCTATCATTTTCCTCTCACTTTCTACAACTGTAAAAAAAAATAAAATTTGAGGGAAGGAAAGCAAAGAGAAGAAGAAAAACTCACATAAGAGTGTTGAAATAATTTGAATGAGAGGTCGAGTTGGAAATTCTTCAACTGAAAGTGAATTTTCACTGATACAAAGATGTTTGTGATTGACCTATAGGCGGATGAAAGATACTGCCCCTAATATCTCTCTCGCTGTACGTAACAAAACCGATGTTGATATGAAGTTTTGCCCCGAATAGATGAGTAATGGACAATTCAAATGGATAAATTGAAGTTGCGATTGCTGTATGTCCGGAATCACCATCAAACCCTTTCTCGTTTTCGCCTTTTTCCATCTTATCTTTACGGGTAATTTATTATCCATACATCAAATATATTTAATAAACAGTGCATAAAACACTATCATCATTCTATAACAATTACTTCTATACTTGTTATCACTATTTCTACGATGAGACGACCTTTTGATGATGATGGTGATGATGATGATGATGATGATGATGATNNNNATGATGATGATGATAATGATGATGATGATGATAATGATGATGATGGTGATGATGGTGATGATGATGATGATGATAATGATGGATTAAGATTTCCATACTAACTGATCACATACCATACAAGTTATAGCGATAAAAATTCATCCACTCCTCTCACCCAATTCCATCTCTCAAACAATCACAATGAATTTTGCTTACTTCTAAATTCGATCTACTCATAAATTATTTACATAATGGAAAAAGAAAAAGAAATACTTCGATCTTCTTTGCAATAACTCATTTTTTAATATCACATCTATAAGAATCTTGTTGTTCGTACATTCAAAAATTATTTAGTGATAATCGATTTATTAATTCCACCCCATTTCTATCTTATAGATCGAATATTGCTGCTTTTCAAGAAAGTACATGTTACTGAGGGCTTTTCCGGATCACATTTCATTGCTTACATGATTCACAGATACAATTAAGTTTAAAAGTGATAATTAAATAAACCTTTTGAGTTGCATGGAGGAGTAAATGTACGAGATGTGGCTCTTCGAAAGCTTGGTTCAGTCGTATTCCAAATGATATTTTTCATGGAAATAGCTTTGGAGAGAAAAAAAAATTAATGATTATAGTATCCTCTCTATTAAATGTTCGAAATTCTGTGGTTTTAATTAGGTAAACAATCAATCATTATATGTTTCTCGTCACTTTTCACTTTTAAAATGACTAAGAAAGAGAAATGAATAAATGCATCATTTATTTTTTTCTCTTTTGACCCATAGTTATTTCGGAACCATTTATCACTTAACACTTTAATCAGTTGTTACTTCGTTTGAATTGATCCCTATCATATTACTAAGATAGTTCAAAAGGCTTACATAATTTTCTCATTTAATTCTCCAATTGATATTATTGTTTTGAAGAAACATTACATTTTTAGGCTCCGATGAATGATATTTCACTACTCGAAGCTTATTTTCTAAACTTGTAATAAAGTTTTATCATATTTAAATGACCATTGAAAACTGAAATAAATAAATGAGTAGAAAATATAGTACATTATAGAGATGAAAATAAGTTTACACATTTTAATTCTTTTTCACTTTTTCTTTTTCAAGTACGTATACAACAGCTAACGTGAATCAAACTTGGTTACATTGAATTCTTATAAGTGGATCAACAATAAAAGAATAATAATGGTATGGGTAAATAATAACCGAACTGAGAATGTTTTTAATTACCGATAGATTAACGAGTAATTCATTTGTTATTGGTGTTATATTTTTTTTTTCGGTATAATCTCAATAAATTCATCAGCGGTAGTAATGCATTCCATCGGAATGATTTCTATGAAAGAGAATTGTTACAAAAATTCATCCAACGAATGCCTCGTAATTTGAATTAATATTTGAATATTTTTTTAAACACGAAAGTTATTTTTACGATATTTATTTTTCATATGTGCAAATTCGTTCATATAGCAAAACAAAGTATTCCGACCATTCCAAATTTGGCTTTCAATCTCCTGAAAAACAAGAATTAGTGTTATTTCAGTGATGATTTAAGCGAAAAGATATTATAAGCTTATATAAATTTACTGACATTCGCTTTCTTCGTATTATTGTCAAAGCACTGACAAAAAAATGACTACGTCCTGTATCACATGATGTTATCACGTTATGCGTGTGAAACGGCTATAATCGAATTCTTAAGCATTTAAATCGTATATGAATTAAAAAGCAATTTCATTATACTCTTAATAATTTTAAAATATTTTCAAACTCTACTGTTACATCAGTTCGTTGACTGGCATAAAAATGATTCTCTGACGCTGTGGAAGTGATAATTTTTTAGGAGAGAGAAGCATCTCCACTCAAATAACTGCTTCTTCCATAGCCAAAATAATGATATTGAAAGCAATGCTTCCAAGATCATGCAGTTATAATTATTAAAGGAAACAGTTTAATTGGAAATGAAGAAATTATAAAATTAGAATTTCGTTATTTACCTAAAATGCTTTTAAAACCAATTTGTTTGTTCAATTTCATTGACATTAACTCTAGATACAGTGATATTGCGAGCAGCCAACGAAAAGAAGTTAGACGTCAGAAAGTAAAGTTTCGAGAATGGAATCATGCTACTAACTAGTTGATGCAAATCAGAATCCATTTGTCCAAGAAAACACAAAAAACCAGTTATTCTGGACATAGTCATGGATGCTTAAAAAACATGGTCATTAGCTATTGCTATATTTTTAGTTTTTTTAAAAAAAAATCTATCGTTGATGAGATTTGCATTTATTTCATATCCTTTATTTAATGCAACAACACAATTATCCTTTCCATCACAATCAAATCTCTTTTAAATTTCTTCATCTATGGCATAATGATAAAATCATTTGATAAAAGGCAATCAATACCATGAAATGACTCATTGTCAATATAATATGTCGCATTCACACTTTCCGCCAGTTGTTGTATGAACAAAATCGTATTATATGATTGCACCATAACAGCCAACATCTGTATCCAAATTTAGGAACAGCTCTCAGATAAAATCATTTGATAAAATAAACTTATTGGCATCCTTAGAGTCTATTAATAAAGTCAATTCAACTTTTCTCATTTATTTTATTTCATCATCAAGCGACATTAATGATCAAGAAATGCAAAATGGTTGAATAACAACATACCTCCTCAGGTAAGAATGTTGAAAATGTTGCTGTAAGACGGTTTGGATATTGTTCGCTTATTTTTGCGATGATAAGAGTTGAAATCCGAAATCTGTACTGTTGCCAAGAGAATGAATTAAATTAAAACCCTACAAAAGTATCTTTTACTACGACACTTAATTCATACAAAGTATAATAAATAATTACACAATATTTTACAATTTTCAAGTTTTGAAATATGCTATTATTCTTATTGAAATAATGAATGTCATAGAACGATAAGGATTATTTTTGCTTATTGTTCTTTTTCTTGAATTATCTGAATTAGAATTCAAAGAAAAAAAACATGGTACTAATTATTTCCAAGAACGTGCAACAACTCATCAATACACTTTATTCCTTCACCATAAAATTCTTTAGCCCTCTACCAAACACAAAATTGTCTGCTTGAAATAGCGTTCGATGGTCGATTGAAGCACCGCATTCAGTGAATCTCACTGCAAATCAACAACTACGGCATGGGAAAAATATTTATTCTCTAAAATTTAATTTCTAATTTTTAAAATACAATTTTATTATAGACTTATATTCCTGCAAGAGATGAGATAAAATAAGTTGACGGAATGTTTACTTCTCTCGATATCTTTGGAAAAAATACAAACCTACCGTTTCTTAAAAAAACACTTTGATACGTTCCAATTGTAATTCCGAAGTACCACTATATGTACCATTAGGTCCAGTACCGTGTTCTTCAGCAATCATTTCCCAGAATATGAACATCAGATTTACTTCTGGCCAACTTCTTGGCCAAAAACAATTTTAACTAATCAAACTTTTGCTCCAATGCTGTTTCCACAATCACCAGTTTTGGATATGAATGATTGCTTCCTTGCTTTCGCTTGAAAAGCTTCCCAAAAATAATTTGCAGTCTCACCAAGAAGTAAGTGTTAAGATGTTCAACAAATAGTTCTTTGTTTTTTAAAGTTATGCAAATAAATTGCATAATTTGTGAACGAAATTTGCACAAATTACTGTCTTCACAATTAGTATTGAAATGTGCATGTTAAATTTAATGAAAGAATTTCAACAAAACCTGAAACATCGTTTCAAACTATCATCGGGGAGAACATTCAACATTTATTCCAATTCTAAAGTGAGTAAAAATGCATATTCGCAGCTGAAAGCTTACTGCTGATGGAGAAGGGAAACAGTTCATAGAACAAAAAATCAAACGGTATGGTTCTTTCTGGTAAATAATAAATGAGAATAATCGAAGAGGCTCATGATTACTTACATTGGCGATCTTTGATAATGCCGACGACTGAATTCTGGATGTGTCGAGAATTGTCGGATTTACCCATTTTGCTTCGATGTTCTTTATTATTGATATTTTAAATTACATTAGATATGCGTTGATCTTGAGATTATCTTCATTATTACATACAACTTCCACAATTCGAGGCCTAATAGTTCGGATCTCGGAGTTCTAATAGTTCAGAAAAATTTTAATTGAAAATCAGGACTCTGATAACATGTTTTCTGAATGCTTTCATATAACTTTTTTCTTTCATTTTAGCATTTGTAAAAACAAATTTAAAAGCCGCCTCATACTGTTATTTAGCATATACTCACGTAGAATGATCAGCTACTTGAAATTAAAACAAGTTGATGAGAGATTTGTTTTTGCTTGCATTCCATTCTTTTTTCGAAAATCAATTCTATTGCTGAGAAGAATAGCCGTACTTCTATCATACGGTTCATTTGGCAATTACTACTGCACCATTCTTTGGTGTAAGCATTTTAACACTGACAGAAATGCAAAATATCGTAGAAACTGCAACGTCTTTACATTATGGACAAAAGAAGTATTCTTGGATTGTGTGTTGCACTTTCCGTAGGCCTTAAATGTAATCACACATCTTTATTAATCCGAAAACTTACCGCTCGGTCTTTGTCCTGTAAACCGTTAAAATGTTGTCTAACCAAGAAGTTAGACCAAAAATAAATTTGAGAAGAAATTTCGGCAAAATACGGTCTCGAATCTAATGGCAAGCGCAGAGATAATCGACCACCACGGTAGGAATGCATCGATATATATTTTAAGAGAGCCAACACTAACGAACATGCACAAATTAATTTGGAAACTACCAAACTTATTTATAAAGTAGCATTTTTTCTAATGATGAGAAGGCTGAAACAGTTTTTGAATACATTAACTGACAAGATACTCACGTTATCATTTTCCGCTTGCAAAAGAGACATTCTGAAAAAAATTACTATTTTTTAAATTTATCTGTTGAATTTTAACTACAACAATCCTTGCACAGAATGGTGAATCTTAATAATGTTAGTTTTTTGCTTCATTTTTTCACATCAACTTAGCATCATTTACATCATGACCTCCCTTTTGATACTCCCTTTCAAAGCTGACCTGAAATGATCTAAACACCATTTCAGCTTAACTGTTACGTGAGGTTTAGAGATCATACTTTTTAAACTTTATTTTGTGAGTAGTTGTCAATGAAAGGATATTAGAAATTATAAGTTAAAATTAAGTAACACAATACATGCTATGTACAAAAAAACAGCAAATACAAATAGTTGAAATAATGAAAAAAGCCGTACGGACCAAATGGTTCAATTGTAATAGTAATTTGCAATCAACGAAATTATGCAACAATAATAATTAATTATGTTCAACATTCGCTTATATTTACATATTTTTTTTGATTCATTTGCTTTGCATCACTTATTTTCTATCAATATTCCACTTAAAATTTCATATCGGGAAGATCGATATGATCGACACCAATTATTGCAATATTATCAAATTCTTCGCTCGCCGAAGAAAATTAACATATGCGTTATTTATTAAGTAGTCCAAAAATACAATCTAAATTTTTAAATTTCTAAAACACATCACTTCTTATGAAACAAAATTAGATAGAACAAATAACTCAGAGAATTAGAAAAATTTACGATAAACGATTGTGTGCCGAAACTTACGTTACCCTCAAACAATTTTTTAATTCAAAACTGGAAAATCAGATGCATTTATTTCTTGCTTTAACATAATCCTATTTTCTCAATTTCTCTACTTTGTATGGAAGTTTTGCTCTGCTTCGCGCTGTCCATTATCATTATGTGAACCTGCATCAGCCATTGATCCTAGGATCGAACCGGTATGACTTAAAGCTCGATATTGTATACCGTAGTCTGCTCTCTCAAATAAAAGATTCATTTCCTAAAAAATATGAAATATTGCGATGACTCGTTTACACGATACTACTTTCGAGGAAATTTACTACGCCTTCAAATTAAAATACAAGAATCATTTTATTAAATAGTAGCATCGACAGGGCAGTCTACCCAAATTTCTGTAAATTTATGTTCACGAGAATTTAATAACATTGTATGCGTAGATTCTCTAAAACAGCTAAGGCAAAAATTAATTTCTGCAAAATTTCTAGAAAGAGGACGGTGACAAATGCAAGCCACTGATTTATTCGTACCTGTTCTACAAGATGCTTACGTTCGGCAATGAAAGTTAAGCGTGGAACATTATTATTGCTTAGCAATTCCGACAGCCTTTTACGCACGAAGTTCTCCGATCCCTTTAGCACTTTTTCGGTGATCTGAAAAAGCAAGGAAGTTTCAACTCAGAAATAGGAATATATTAAGAAAATTCTGGAAACCAAATATTAACGAAATCCAAGAGATGAGAGATAAATCAGAAAAGTAAATTACCTTCTCTCCTCATTTCCAAAAAGAAATATAAACATTACCTCATCGGATTTATCACCTTTTGCTAACCAGTAAACGTCCATTACTTTAAATGTTGGACCTACATCAACCTAAAATTCACTGCACATTATCTTCGCTTCCACGATGTCTCTCTCGTGAAATTAAGAGCAAAAGAGAGAAGAAAATAAATTTCAGTAAATTTAGTTTTAGTTTTTGCTTCACATATATCAAAATCATTAAAGTATCATCAGTAATATAAATATGTTTCAACCTAACTAAGTATTCGATACTTCTGTAATGAAATATAAGAAAAAAAATCTTAAGGTTTTTTAAATAACCAAACAGCGGCATACCTTGTACAATTCTAATCCTTCTATGTCACAAAATCGATCATGTTCACATAAAATTTGAAAAATATGCTCCAAAAACATTCTCCCTAGACGATTTCTTTTCGCTTCGCTTAATTTTCTTTGTTTCGGTTTCTTCCCAACATCCAGCATCAACATCTACAACATCATAATAAATCTATAAAGCAGAGAAAGTCAATTGTTTCAACTTCTTTAACTTATTTTAAATTTCTTTTTTGCTGGCTACTTCTGTATTGAATATCTTATCTGTGAGTAAAGAAGAAAAAATTTTCTTGTGCTCGAATCCAAATGAAGCTGCTACTTTAAATATCATTCAGTTCAATAGAGTAAACAAAAACTCATAGAATCCAACTGCATATATGATTCACTAAATTAACAACAACCTCATTGAATGTTTAGATTTACTGAATTCGTATGATTTCACAGGTTCTCAAGAGAGATTTTAGCAACACAGTATTTTTAAAGTTTTTGAAACAATTAAAACTAAAAGAAACTAACAGTCTTCTCCAAGCCACTATCGACACCAACCAATTGAGCTATGGTTCTTGTAAAACTTTTTTTCTTTGCTACGACAAATCGAGGTAAATCGCGATGCCTTAGATCATTTGCATGTCCTCGTCCTGTTTGTCTCTTATAAGGATTCATATATGAACACTCAATCATCGAAAGAGTGATATTTCGAAATGGCACATTAATAGGCGTAGTGCATTTCACAAGAAACTGCACAAATGTTTGCAATGGCTCGAAAATTCTATTACTTCCAATAGTCAACATATCCTGAAAATCTTTATTACCTAAACAAATTACACAAGTCTTTTATTTATTTTCCTTCCTCTCTCTCAGCACCAAGAAGTTTACATCAAATGCAAGTTTATTAACAACGGCTCAGTGTGAGCTGAGTATATTCTTCATCGAGAGAACCAAAGGGGAGGGGACCGAACTTCGAATATTCGACTACTCGTTCTGCGAATTTCACAATTGGCGATCCGAACAGCTTCCGCCCCATCAATCAGAGACCACATAAAAAAGTTTCTGTTTCATATTTACTGAAACGACATACAACCCAAACTCCTTCATTGTGTAACTAAATTGAGTAACAAACACAAGTAACTTTACTTATTTCTTTGTCTAGCAAAGAAACTAATAAACATTTCCAGATAGTATGTCGTCTGCTTCAAAAATGATGACATATGGCATGCGCAGTTCACACTTCACCGTTTTGAAACTTCCTCAAAATTCTCATGTAATGATCAATCCAAATGTTGTAAATATAATTTGTAACGGTCACAACACTACGTTGTCAAAAAATATAACAAATTTTATATATCTTTTTACAGAAGTATAGCAAATCTTTTCCAGTATATAACTATTACAATACGGAAACATGTGGTATATTCCTAAACAATTCTCGTGCATGAAATCCCAAAAATTTATTGAAAACATTTTAAGAGGCACAATAATTAAAAAGTAATTTACAAGAGAGTGTATCTCCCCTAAAATCTGAGCCATTACTTCAACGATTACCAACTAAATGTAACAAAAGCAATGTACAAATAGCAGTTTGTTTGTTTTAATATTATATTACCTTTATTATTTCCTCGAAATTCTCAGTAAGCTCATTTAGACATTCCTCTGTCAACTGCTGGAATACACGAGAAGTGTTTATTGAAATTCTCTAATGTACAATAGGTTATATATTTCAAAATATTGAACATGAAAATGAATTCTTCCAAATTTTGTCAAGCATTTTACACTTCCATTAATTTTTGGAAGTGAAAAACAGATGAATAGGACGTTGTCATAAATATGTATGAACAGAATGTGGAATAATTCCTAGATATACATTAAACATCCACTTTTTCAAAACGTAAAACAATAAATCAAGCGCTGAGAAAGGGAAAAGAGAGTTAAGAACTAGAATGTTAGGAATAAACGCTAATACATTTCGTTCACGTTGTTTATTCAATCACATTTTTTCTAAGAACATATCACATACTTCTCGGAAATTTTTATCTTTCCGTTCATTTTGTGCTCCCTTAAGTCCATATTTTCTTATTTTATTAAAATAACATCATTTCTTAGTTTTTTCAAAATGGAAAAAGTATGGAAAATATAAAGAATGAAGAAATTAATAATCATGAATTAATTCCATGCTCTAACTGTTCAACAAATAATTCTTCGCCCATTCGTTTCAAATATTTAGCACGATTTATTTCAATAAGATTCCATTTTCGATGACTATATATTCTTGACCATTGCCGTGGATTAGTTCCCGGCAATAAATCATCATTCTCTAACGGATTCAATTTTATTTTTCCCGTTGTTATACGTTCACATGTCGCATTACCATCTTGCGTTTGTTCCAGATCTTCTCTGCAAGAAAATTAATAATACTTAATTTGACTTGATTACCGAATCGTATAAAAGGAATAGAATTGATGAATTGTATTTTTAGATCTGTTTATGGACAGGAAAAAGTAACGAAATCAGAAAATCAAATGCATTAATAATGGTAAACAGTAGTGAAATACTTCCATTAATAATGGAAGAACTTCAAAGTAATAAATATGTTTAAACAAGAAATCTAGAATTTAATTATATCTCATCGTCTTATTGAATGAACAATGTTACCTTATTGCTAGAAGTGGAACTGCTGGAAAAGCCTGCTTAATTTTCATTGTCAATGTATCGAGGTACTCGGCTATACTTTTTACACTTTGCCACGATTGGTTTTTCCTCGGAGAATAATTATTCAATCTTATGTTTAGAAACGACCGTCGCCTTCCTTCAAGATGTCGCTTTGCTTCCTCAATCGCATCTTGAGAAGTGAATGAGGTAGCAGCAATACCTGAAGAGGAATGCATGAAGATATTCTGATGTTTCTTCTTAATGTCATACAATATAAATGTCATACAAAAATTAAAGAAAAATATGCCACTTCCACACCTAATCTGGTAGCCATAATATCTGCAACTCGTTTCGTGAATTCTTCAATTGTTTCGCTTGGTTTATGTGAATCTGAGCTCTTCCTTCGATGCAGCGGATGAAGCCAACGTATCTAAAATGTATCTGGAAATTAACTTTGCAGAAAAAAAATCATCTACTTAGCCCTGAAACACAGAACTGAAAAAATTTCATTATAATTAGAATTGAAAGGACAGCGGTTGGTGATTCTAATGAATGCTTTTTAATTATAACTGAAAGCATACTTAAAAATCATTGAGAAAGATGAACATATGACTCTGTTCATCATACTTCTAGACAATTTCTGCGCAATACGCTGAAGGGGTGAAACAATATTAGCAGCAGATCTACAAAATTATATTCTAAACTTTTTGCTTTAAATAAACTGACTGAAAATAGACTGGATTAAAAACAGAAAAAATCATACTTTCATGATAGTGAACGGTACAAACAGAAAATAGAAAACATCTTGCCACCATGTGCCACCCAAAACTGATATCGCGATATTGCCAAAAAAAGGCCGATATACTGATATTAATACAGGCTGGACCGAATCAGCTATCTAAATCCCAAAAATGGTTAACAGGTAAATAGAAAAAAGGCGAAACACTCAGGAAGACAGAATGACAAACGTAACATACTTCAAATGGCCAAGTACTAAATTTGAGAAGACCAGTAGAACCACTCGTCATTGCTCCTTCTGGAAAAGTGAGAAGAGGTAAAGCATTCTTTTCGCAGAATATTTTTGAACGACGAATAAGTTCCGCACGTCCATGACGGGCTCCTAGATCTTTGTATCCTAGGCACCTACAAATAAATTATGGACAACAAAGAGATCACCTAAACATTAATTTGAAACATTCAGCAATTATTCATGATTAAAACTAATTAAAAATGGACATTTAACCTTAAAACCACTGAAAATTTATCGACCTAAAGAAATGAACCTTAGACCATAAACTCAGTGGAGAATAGATTAACAGACTTGAACTTTTGAAACAAGATATCCTGCCAGAACATCATTATTGGTACATACCAACGTAAAAGATTGGGTACATCCCAAACAGAAGGTAATATGCAAGGTTCAATTAAGTCTACCGCCATGTGATCAAGCGTTGAAATATGGTTTGCAACTAGAAGATGCGTTTTGTTATCCCAATTTCCAGCTGGTCCACCGCTGAATACTACCAAGCCCAATAAGCAAGACATTACCCGTAATACCTGCAAAGTAATTCATGGTGCACATAAGGAAAACCTTTCCGTTTAATATAGCGGAAGATAGTGGTATGTTTCAGAGGAAAAAACTTAATTTCATAATACTCATAGAAAAGTAAATTACGATGACAAACACTGATGTGGAAACTGTAAAAATAAGGTCAAACATCGTAAGTTAGTTCAATTGACTTTAAACTTTGAATTCGTAATACGATCTGTGAAATCAGTGTATCAATGCATGTTAAAAACGTGAACTGTGAATTAATTTGCAATCCTGAATAAATTCATCTTTTTCAACTTTGGATGAGTGACAAATGTAAAGAAATAACAAATAATAAAACTTACTGTACACCTCAGTAACATCGTTTTGCGTAGAATACAAGCAGTAAGAAAAATATGTGCACCAATGATAACACGTAGGCAAAATAATAATATACCAAATGGAATATATGTATAAAGTAAAAAACGTTGAAATGTGGATGAAGAACAGCGGTCACGTACAAATAGGCTACTTAATTGTGGCGTTGGTGTCGCTGATGAAAATATTTCCGCCATTCCTGAAACAGTTTGCCATATACATCTAAATAATACTCTAAGAAAATACTTCTCACCTTCACCACAAATCCAATATAAATACGATCACGCATAATAATGCGGCCCTACTTGAGGTCACCATACAAAAGTGATATCCACTTCATTGACACTTCTGCAAATTTGCATGTAATATTTTACGTGTGTGTACGTCAAACGTTGCGGCATGATTTAAGCATGCTAGAATAAGGAGTAAAAGTAGTCATTTCATATCACAGTATTAATTTGAGTCGGTTCATTGTTAAGTGGAAGTTCCTAACGATTGCAGCTATCCACAAATAGAGGTTAACAGTATTTCAAAATTTATCAAGTTTAAAAATTGAATATGTTAAACATTAAATAAAAGAAGTGCCTTGTGAAATCATAACACTGATCATTTGAGCACTATCATAATTTCCTTTTCAGTAACCCATTGCAATTTATAACTTGCTTTCAATTTTTTAATGTCTGTTCTTTCATTTGATGTCTTGTCTGTCATCACATCGAGCAAAGAAAAAGTTTACCTTTTCCTTCTCAAAACAGTTAATGTAAAATCAGAAAATGTATAAATGAAAAGTGTGTTATTGCTCTATGATAAAATGAAAAATTGGCTATTATAAGAACAGCAAAGTATGTTCAATAAGAAAGAAACAAGGCAGTAAAATTTGAAGGATTTAAAAAGAGGTGAAATGAATTTGAACAGTTAACAACTTTCCAGTCTCAGTAGTGTTGTATCAACGAAAAGTGAACTTTGAAAGCATATATTTCAATATTCCTCAACGAATTAGAAATAATTCAATCGATCGTTCCAATAGTCAATCATGAATGGGTAACGTATATTAATCAGTTGCCATTTATTTAATTATATTTTTTATCCAAAATTTGAAAACACAATAATGACTGACGATGGTTACTGGCTAATCTTCCTCATCTTTTTCTATTGGCGCTTAATTATGGATGAAAATAAGAACTTTTCATGTTGTATCACTCTTAGATCATGGGAGTCACCACATCTTCCATATTTTCTTCATTTATTAATTAGGAACAGGTAATGCAAATGGCTGATCCGAGATTATTTCCTCGCATTTTGTTGATCAAATACGCCATCTGCATATAATACTAATTAAATTTTTTTTTGTTGAAACGTTGAATAAGAAAATAATATATTTTTCTTAACTTGAAAAAGACTTTTGTTTACAGAAGTACAATTAAATTTAAAGGCGTCAGTCTATTTCAAGGTACGCTCTTCACCTTTTTTATAATAACTTTAAATCTATCATTCATAAAATGATGTGAGAAGAGAAGCTTTGCAATTATAGAATTATAAAAACACATTGTAGAAAACAAAAGATTAGGGACAATTTCTGATTGTCAAATATGATAGCAGTAAATGTTATTAACAAGCTCTGACTTTCATAACCAAATTGAATTTTTTGGCCAAATACATGGGACGAAATATATATAAAAAAGTGAAACATGAATATCGAACTTCGCCTCAATACTTGAACTGAAGTTTAATTTATCTACTCCACTCTTTTCTATTTTTTCAAAATCAAATATTTTTATAATGAACGAAATCAAAATCGAGTGAAAAAATAAGAGAGTGAAGATGATTTTGCATTGTTTTACAAGTTTATTGCAAGGTTGTTGCGTATCGCCCAGTTCATTACTATGGATGATTATCACACTATTTATATTTTTTATCACTTTTGCCATTTTGGGCTTATTAGCAATTTGGCTTCTTTGCGCTTATTATCGAAGAAAATCAAGGTTAGCTTGCATAATTTTTGAGTTTTCTTAGCAATTGAAAGTTTTCGTAGTTTATTTTCTTTTAGATTTCTTTGAATTGATTCTTTTTCTGAAAAGAAACAACTTGAAAATTCAGGAAGCAAGTCGAGAAGGAATTACAGCGTCGTCGAGATGACGAAAATCAGTTAAAACTTGATATGTTCCGAAAAAAGCAACTTGACTTACAAATGCTTACAGCAATGAGGAGTGCCAGAATTGGTCCCAAAGATTTGCTTTGTTCCCAGGAAGCGTGTTAGCTTACGTTCTTTTAATCAAATCGTATTGTAATTAAAAGATGTAAAGGGGAAAAGTGAAGCGGAAAAAGACTCGACTTATTCCTCAGGCTTATGAATTCATTCCTCAAATCTTGGGTATTTTCTGAAGATCCTAAAACTGATAGAATATAGCACGTATTACAATTTATTTTTCAATCATGAAAATCTCCAAAATTTCGCCTAGCAAAAATACCTAATAAATCTCATATAAAGACACCTAGATCAATAACAACTATCGAGTAAGACTTTAATAATTCAGCAGTTATGACGACATGTCCATAATGATTGACTAACTGATGCTCTCGAGAAATGACTTCATTTCTTAGCCCTATTTGATATGTTCTCGAGTATTAATAACACTAATTATGAGCGTAGTATAATGAATACCTGCTGTTGCTGCAGAAATGTTTATCAGATAAATAAAAAAGAAAAAATGATTGTATTCACTAAAATAATTTGGATTAATAATATTTTGATCAGGATACATCACTTACCTTAAACATTTCAAAAGAAATTTCTGGAAAAGATTTGTAATAATAATCCTCAATAAGCCAATTGCTTAATAAATCTTTTTAATTTACTTGTTAATTTAGCTCCTAATAATAGTTTGAAAAATTCACAAATAACAATCTACAAGTTTAGTAAATCCTCGAATGTCGTATGTGCCATATATTCAATCACCAAATTCTGAGCAATATCCAAAATTGCTCAATTCCACTCTATATGAAAAGTCTTCACCGTTCCAGTCAGTTCCATCAACCATACCAAACGCAGGAAAGAATAAAATTTCAAAAGAAACTGAGGTAATTGAGAAGTAAATTATTTTAAAATTAAGGCATATTTTTAAAATTTTTTAAATTTTAAATTATTAAGACCAACTTCCTAAGTTCACATATCTCACATCCTTCAGGTTTCAGAATTTACAATTTTTGCGCACTGCAACAGCAAAAACACCATCACAGAAAACGAAAAAAGATGGAAAAGTCCTAACTGAGAAAGATTCTCAGAAAACTAACAGAGTTAAAGTAAGCATTATATTACATAAAGTAATAAAAAAAATGAATATTCTTTTTAACTCAGCATTTAAATCATGACGAAATATCTTTCATTTAATATTTTATTATCACTATGATCGGTAGTTACTACAAATCAACATTTTTCATGAATAAATTTTAAATAAATCAACTATGCTAATAATTTTCACTTTTACTAATTTTCAAGGTAAAAAATGATGAAAAGCCTCAGATTCAGCAATATGAGACTGACATTTCCGTTTCTAACAATAATCGATCAGCTAAACGGAAACGAAAGAAGAAACGGAAATCCAAAACGAAGGTATTCTCAATCAATAGTTTAATCAATTTGCATATTCTGTGTGGAAATTTCTTGCCCAAAAGCGCTTCTCAATAACAGTAAAAATCAAAAAACCTCTTAACACTTTGCGATGTAAGCGACAATGCATGAAAACTTTCAGTTAAAAATTAATCAGTAGTTGATTTATAATTTCCTTATCTGTCAATCGATACAATATACTGACTGTTAATTTTAAATTTTCATTCAATTAAAAGATCGATATTTCAGGAGAAAAGAAGCACTGGAAAATTTGATGATCAAAAATATCCTCAGATAACATCAACACCAATAGTATGATTTAGTGTTATAAACCTAATTTATATTATCAATCGGTATTTTTTTAAGACACATAGAGATCATAAATACTACATTTCAAAAAATTGATGGATTTTAAGAAATTTCTCATAAGTTTGTTTTTCGAAAGGATAAGATTAAATAATTGAGGCAGTCGTTTTCTTTATTCATTTATACTTCTACTAAAATAAATAGCATTTTAATTAAATATATTCGAGATATCATCGAATATCCGTTTTGATCTGTTCCGATCATTATCAATGATTTGTGTTACCTCTCTGTTATTGGTTTGTTGTCTTAGCCAGAGCGATATCAGCATCAAATTCCGCCTGATAATGTTCATGAATGGATTTATCGTATTGCTCGTTCAGCAAAATCAATTCCATATTTTTCACCAAACAAACGAGTTCTTCTCATTCCTGAATTATCCAGTAAATTTTGACCCTTTTTTCAAAATTTATTTATAACATTATGAGTATTATTATGTGAGTGGAGCCTAACAACATCGAATCAATTTAACAAATTTCAAACTGATCCGTACTATATGCCAGAGCAAATTTAACCTGCCTAACTAGAATGTAATTATATAATGATGTAATTTAAACTGAATATTTTCATATGATTTCATATGATATCATATTTTTCATTTGCTATCAGTTCTTTTGATGAATGAAATTAATATAGCCCATTTATGCATCATCAGAATCAATTCCGGGGAAAAATTTCAATCAAATTTATCAGATCGATTTAATAAAATTATTCTAATTTTTAAATGAAAGAAAGTAGAGTCTGAAAACTGTGAATTTTTTCTGTTATAATGTACATAATTTCAAAATGCGAGGAATTATATGAAGTTGGAAAAAATATCCATGAAAATAAGGAACTGGAAATAATTATGATTTTAAATAATATTGAATAAATTTCTCAGCAGAAGATTCGGGTGATAGAAATGATGAAGAAAATGGGCGAAATAATGATGCAACTGGAACCAATACATCGGAACAATCGACAAATTTTCCATCGTACACTGTTTGTCACATTTTGAATATGAGATTTCAATCTCAAATTTTGATTTAAATTTCAAATTCCTTTTGATTTAAAAAATAAATTGAGTATTAATTATGAATATGAACATCCATTGTAAAACTATTTCTGAGCTACATCCATCAGGTATATATGCATACCACTTAAGTAATATTAATATTCTTAGATAATAAAGCAATACGTGAGTAAAACTATATCAAATTGTTTCAGCTAATTAAAGCTATCAATTGTAGGTCCTGCAAAAACTTTAAATATGAGGATTTATAAAATCTGATAACTACTAAATCGAGCGGTATTTCTATTTTATCAGACAGCAAGAATGACCTCAGTCCTTCTCTTCTCAAATATGCAAATAAAAAAAGTAAAAAAAAAATGAAATCGAGAATTCCTCGATTAAAGCGTTCCAAATTAAATTACAGAATGAAGGAGAGGTTGAAACGGACGTAGAGATGTCAACCGAAACAAAGGAACAAAGTACGCCAATGACGCCAACATTCCCAACATCAATCTCTGCCTCGATTAATGCACCACCAAGTCTGTTCAGTTTTCAATATTAATAGAAATTTAAGCTTTCTAATAATTAAATTCGAATGTTGATGAATATCTTGATAATATTATGGATAATATCTACTACCAATTTAATCATTGCTATTGAATTTATGGGATTTCATATCATTTTTCTTTCAGGTGACACATTTTTGAATGATCAATTATATTGGAGAAAAGAAAACAAACAAAAAAAGTATTTGAAAATAGGAAACGATTCAAAAATAAGTAAAAGTTTAAAATTTTTTAGAATAACTAAATGTTATCGTTATACTAATCAATTTCAGTGATTTTATCATTCACTTTTATATTATAATCATCATAGATTGTGCGGAAAATACAATTGAGAGACCAAAAGAAAAAGTATTGTGGAATCCACCGGATAAACGAGCTGAAGCACGGCTTAATCGAACTCTTGAGAATCCATGGTAAAATTTATTATGGAAATTCACATAAATTCATATAAAACACCTACGCGGATATTTAGGATACCACCTATATCTACTCTAATTGGAGTATCTTCTGATTGCTTGAAACTTTCAGAAATATCTCTACCATTATGTTTCAACACACTGTTTAACTGTCGTTACTATTTGTAGGAAAAAATGTCCGACTCAATTTTTGTGCATAATATGAAAATAATTAGGAAATTTTTGCAATACCTCAGTCGATAGAATTTACACTTGTAAATTTAAGGCTTTATACAGTGCCAGCTGTTCATTCCAGAATGTCTTATAGCAGGTAAGATTTCTATATATCATTTGATGCAAAATTTACTTAGAGGAAGTAGATAAAACTCAAGCTTATTTAACTTATGTATACTAAATACTAATATTTATTGTCCCTCTAATATTATTTTTTTCCGGGATCAATAAATCAATGTTTATGAATGATTCTCTTCATTTTAATTTCTTGTATTATATAAATTGATGATATTACACCTATATGTGAACGTTTGCTCACTGTAAAGGTATTTTAAGCTGAGAACTTTAATCCTATGTTAGCTCTACAAATTATTACGCATAACTAGCGCAGACTGGTCTATCCACCACATTATTTTTTATTTTGACTAATTAATAGTATATGGCTAATGCAATTCAGAATTAACATTAGCCGAAAGCACAACCGTTAGTTTTGCGTAATACCGTCATTTATTCTTCCGATAATAAACATAACAACCGCACTAGACACTCAGGATTTCAGAGCGGAACAGCCAGTCGATGATATCCGGTATCAGCCATGAAATCATTTGATCATTTCCATATTACCATTGTTAAGTTGAATTCATTTGAAAATTAGCTATTTTGTTCCGGCAAATAAAAATGTTTTAAATTGGAAAAACAGCTTTGATAACCAAAATTATGAAGATGAATGCAAAAAATTATGTGCTATTTGATAGAAAATTCTATGCTTAATGGAGACATATCGATATTCGCCTCATTCATCCAACGCAATTCACACCTCGGAAATATCCCACTCTTCAAATTCTATACTATTTCATACTTATCATTAGTTATCTCATTCTAATTGCCTCGAATAAATCGTTAAAATGTTTGACTGCTAATTATTAGGCCTAAATAATAGCTCTCTATTTGAGTCTTATTGAATGTTGACCATATTTCTACAATTTTTTGACATTTTAGACAAAAAAATTTGAACCAGATCAGCCATTAAAATGATTAAACAATTCGAACAAAAGTTCGTTAAAACGATTAATTGATAATAGGTCCGAACAGTGGCATTTTCTTTGTATTACTTAAAAGGCAAAGATAAAGTAACATCCGATGTACCATTGGTTCCTGTCAATGTCTGTCAGTGGAATGAATCAGATGTAAAAAATACTAAAAATGCAATTCAGTTTATGCACTGTAAGTTCACTCTCGTCATCATTTTCGTATAACAACACTTTGGGCTTAATTATGTTGCATTTCCATTAAGTAAGCTTGAATCCCACACATCTTTATCTTTTCATTTATATGTTCCAACGTTTTATGTAAAATTAACATTTCGTGAAATTTCATAGCAACCCGACCAACGTGATATAAACATAATAAAGGGTTTAAAATGAAAGAGAAAGTGAATTTACTGCTCGTGGTGTTCATGTGTGGGAAACGGCCTGTGAATGGTTAGGCGCCAGTTGAAATTGATGGTTGGGGTTGGGATTGTTCAGTTTGGGTGAGAAAATATAAATTCGCGGGAAATGAGTGCGGCAGGGTCATTCGGAGATGTGACTGGGGAAAGGCGTCGTGTGGCTCATCGACCCAATGAATCGGTGAAAGATGTCATTCGTGGGTTGGCTTTTAAGAAGCAGTCAGTTGCACAGGTCGCTTATTTTATCCTTCTGAAATCTTAAAATTTGGATTTTCTCCGAAGTTATTTTGAATTTTATATTAATAAAGAGGAAGTCGATGTTCTAATTGAATGTGGCAGTCTTCATCAAATTTTTTTATCAACAAATTCTTATAATTTTTGAGATGAAGTCTGAAAATTTCGCTTGTTTTGTCCGAAATTATTCTAATTGCAAGAAAACTGAAGTTTTGCCTGATTTAAAAATTATCGGACCTGAGTCCTTTTTTTCAAATTTTCCATTGAAAATTTTGCGGAATTGGCAGATTCTTTTTACTTTAAAAAAGGAAGGACTATTTATTTTTTTGAGTATTTTGTTTAATAGCTGCATATTTTATCAATTTAAAGGTTTCAAACACTGAAAACTTCTAAAATTACCATTTGTTTTGTTATAGAAGCTAATTTTTATATGGAATTCATCGGTCCTAAACAAAATGCATTTAACATCCTATGGTGCTGCTAAGACCTCTTTTGATTGTCTTTGTCCATTTTTGTCTTTGTAACAAGTTAATACAGTTATTTCTTACAGTTGTCAAAGTATTAAATTTGGGTCTGGTATTTATTTTTTGATGATTCGGATTTTTACTTTCAAACTATCCCAGATTAATTGAAGATGGATTTTTTAAAGGATTTTTTATACTTAATTTATCTTTTGAGAAAGATGGGGATCTAATATGTAAGGAATAAGCGAACATTGAAAAGCGGTGAATATTTCCAAAGGTTGATTTTATATGCGGTATCATAATACTGATTCAGAAATTAACAACTTAATTTGTAGATGGTAAATTTGCTTGCATCAAAAAGTGGCAAAAAGGATAGTCGGGCACAGCTTCAACACGGGTCGAAAGGTAAATTTTATTAAATCTCGTAGATCCACTGGAAAAAAATATTTCTGATAACTGAAAAGAACCGGTATTACAGGAAGCATAATTTTTAGAAATGAAAAAAACACGTTCGTTTCATCGTAATCGACGTTTGATATCATCATCATCAGAGGAAGAATTGGTTGAAAATGAGTCAGATGACAAGGAATTGAAAATTTTGGAAACACCACACACAGCTATCAGTTGGAGAAGACAGAGTTCAAACAGAGAAATGGTTGAGGATAAAAAAGAAATATCCAAAGCATCTTCGAAAAGCGTTCGAACTATGCCGAATATTAAGCATAAAGATCTAACTTTTGAAGAAAGGTGTGATTAGCAGTTTATTAAATTGATTATTTAAAGCCTGATTTGGATATCTTTTCATGATTACAGCTATGCAGATCTCGAGAAACAGATAATCCAAATGGATCTTGATCTGCAGGAAATAAATTAAATAAAAATCTGATCGCTGTAAACTGTGGACTTGTTTCCTTTAGTTAAATGTTTATTGAAATTATTAACTGCAAGTAACTGTTTTGCGTGATTTTGAAAAAAGATGCTTCAAAAAATGAACTTTTTTGCACTGTTTTTTGCAGCTTAATTTTTACGTTAGTTATGTGTGATTGAAATTGGTATGAGTGTTGGATATTTGGAATTTGAGAAAATTTTCAGTAATTGGATGTTTCATTTATTTCTTCATTTATTTCGTATTTTTAAGGCTGGAAATGTTAACAGATAGCGAATTAAGCGATCAACAAACCGATGCAAAACAAGATGTGAAGTGGTTGTGCAAGCCACGATTAAATAGTTTTCTAAAACAAGATGATATACATATAGCCACTCAATTGACCACCAGGAGAACAGGACGAAAAAGGGCGGTTATTTCTTCGTCTAGTGATGAAAAACCTGAAAGCGACGAAGAAAAAGTAATTTTTTTTAGTCGCTCTGTGATAACTGGAACCATGTTGTCGAATTTGAGATGGGAATATAAATAGCGTATTAAGATTTTGTGAATGATTTGGCATATTTGAAATTTCGATTCAGCTGGTGAGAAAACTGTAGATCCTGAAACATTGTCAGCATTGTTCCTTGGCCCTTTGATTTCCCCTGATTTCTTGCAAAGTTCAAGTCACTGCTAAATAAGATCGATAATCTGCTTTTTTAATTTGTTAAAGGTTCCAATAAGTTTAAAAATGATGGTGAAAAGAGCCAAAAAACACAAGAAATATGCGAATTCAAGCAGCGAAGAAAATGAAAACGACGGACATTATGATTCGGATAGTTCGGCACGTGTGGACAAGAGCGATAGTAATAGTGAAGATGGTCAGGTTGGTACCTTGGCTGAAGAAAAACTTTATTTTGAATCTTCTGAGAAAATTTATTTGGATCTTATGTTGAGTAAATTCAAGCAAATTAGCGGTACGATAGAGTAGGCAAAATAATAGAACAAAAATCATGGTGTTCGGTGCGCTAATATATTTCATAAAATTGGAAATATTAAAAAACAGGTAGTTGTCCCTAATGTTTATCAGGGTTGAAAAAGTCAGTTATGTCGATGAATGGCGCTGATGAATATTTGGAAAGCGGGGACATAGTAGGCTAGTCTTTTTTTTAATAATTTGAATTATTTAGGATCGACGGAGTTATCGAAATACTTCCTCATCGATGATTTTGAAAAATTGTTGTGTGACGTTTTTTAATGAAGCTAGTCGAAATATACTGATGGAGACTCCACGCATAAGTGATAAAGTAGCTGATTTCATAATCAGTAACCGACCATTTCGGAATTATGAGGATTTGGTAGATACAATGTTTTCCTTATTTTTGGTTTCTATGAACTTTGTATCATGCTGCCAGAATCATGTTAATATTTTAGCATTGCAGTACCTGCGACTATTTACAAATTCCAAGCATCCATGCAGCATATCATGTCGAAAAAAACTTAAGTTTAAATTATATAATAAATTCCAGGAATCCCGTCTTTTGCAATGCCCGCGTGGATCCTATGCTGCCGAGCAATATTTAGACTTTTTGGAAAACCGAAGTATACTGGAAAATATCTTGGATGATTGTCGTCGACATTCGGAAGAAATTTATTCTGCATTGGAATCGATTAAATCCAAGCAGTTGCAAATGAAGCCAGATCTACTTAGCGAAGAGTGCGTTTTGTGGAGTCCTAAATTGTGATTTTTTTAGGGAAGAATCTAAATTATGATTTCCGTATCACTTCGGGGAAACAGTTTCCTTTATTAGTGTTTGTTTTCAGGTGCGAGCTTCATCAATATCAGCAAATTGGCCTAAACTGGCTTATGATGATGCATAAACTAAAGTTGAATGCTATTTTGGCTGACGAAATGGTAATTATTTATACTAGTTCAAGGTGGGAAAGTATGGAAAGAAGGAAGGAATAGTAAAAAAATATTCTTTACCTTTACCTATTTTCTGGAAACTTTTAGTTAATTAAACAAATTTAAAGGATTCGAACTACCATCTTTTTTTTGCAAACTTCAGAAAGTCTAATTCAATATATTTCTTGTTGAACTGATTATTACTTGAACTGATGTAATGTAATATGATGAATTACTGATAATCCGGCTTAATTTAAAAATATTTTCGTTACTGATCTACAACATTAGATGTGAGACAATTGCTTCGCCGGAAAAAGTACTGAATTGAACAATTCCGATAGTAAAGTTGTTACGTGCCAACTTCAATGTATGAGCATTCATGACATTGCTAAAAGTAATACCTTCTAAACTGCAGTCATCCTTTGTTTTTTCAGGGCCTTGGGAAAACAGTTCAAGTAATAGCTTTCATAACTTATTTGAAGAGTGAGCAGATCAAGGGACCACACTTAATTGTAGTACCATCTTCGACAATTGAAAATTGGCTCAGTGAATTTTCAAAATGGTCACCTAAAATTAATATCATTACATATTATGGTAGCATTGCTGACAGGAGGCAGCTACGACACATGGCAACTGACAAAAATGTATGTTTATAGTGCATTGTGAAGCACATCAGTATAAGCTGTATTTCCTCTCAAAATGAAAGGTCCAAATATGCAATGTGCAATCTCTTCCTTACTATTTTGAAAAATAATACAACAAAATATATGATTTGGTAAATGTAACTGAGGTTTGTCTCGCAGCTTATTGCAAGATCGGTCGGGAATGCGGTCATGTCAGTGATATCGAACTATAATAATGTCAGCGATTTAAAAAGATTTATTTTTGGATGAGAATAAATTTTAGTAATTAGTAGGTAGAAAATACTTTTTCGGTATAGGAACTCATCTTTATAGGTAGATGTCTTGTTGACAACTTATAATATGGTTGGATCTAAAACAGAGGATCGGAAATTTTTCAAGCGTTTCCGGATAAATTATGTCATTTACGATGAAGGCCATCTACTGAAGAATTGTAATACTGATCGTTACAGAAATCTTATGAAGATTCATGTGTGTTTTATTTCTTTACTTTCATATATTTTTTATAATATTCTACATTGACAGTAATATTCTTTTTATTAGTTAAAATAGGTTACTCCCGTAATATGATTACAGTTTGAACTCTCTGCTAATTATTTGAAATATTTAAATCATACTGCAATTTTTCCATAAGGTTTAATACAAATAAAATAGAGCTTGCTGAGAAGCTGTACATTCCGATGTTGCTATCATTCTTTCCATGTGTCTGCTCTTAAGGAACTTCTTGATAACTTGAGTTCATGTTTTCTTGGAGCGAATAGATGGAAGGAATTGCAGGGTGAGAGAAAAATTTTGATTACTGGCACGCCTCTTCAAAACAATCTTGTTGAGCTAATTTCATTAATGTACTTCACAATGACGAAATTGTTCACAAAGTATTGTGATGATATTGGACAACTTTTACAACAGTTTCAACAGGTTTGTCGGTCTTTTTAGAGTTTTAATTTGAACCATAAGACTCACGATATTCAAACACACTTTTCTTGAAAAGGATTAAGATTACAAGATGCTATGGAAATTTCAAATAATCTTCCTAATTAGATTTCACCTAGTTTATTTGTTAAAAATTCAAAGAAAGTTTAGATTGCGCATATAGTTTTCAAGTCCTTCTCTTTTGAAGAAAATACCAGCACTGGAAGCCAAAAATGGTGCGTTGTATGAAGCTGATAAAATTGAACAAGCAAAAGCGATTTTGAAGCCGTACATTTTGCGGAGATTAAAAGCAGATGTATGTTTTCTTTTCTTTAAATATTTTTGTTTTTTGCTTTGAAAATTTTTATTTGCCCTTAACAAAATTCAAAGTGACATGCTTGTAAAAAGATGACTTTAAAGCATTTTGGTTATTTTATGTTTGAATGGATACAAAAGAAGAAAGCACATGATAAGAAAATCAAGAAAATGAAAAGTAAAAAGCATTTTGGAATTGACTTGCTTGTTCTTTGTATAATAAGTGAAAGGATAATATTTTTGGGGAGTTGCTTTCATAGACAACAATTAAAACCGTATAAATTATTAGTTTTTCATGGAAAAGTTCCTATCAGTTTGACAAGGCCATTTTTTGGATTTTGTTTTATTTTTCTAGGTATTGAGTTATTTACCAAAGAAAAAGGACCGTGTGATCAAGTGTCCAATGATTACGGTGCAGAAGGAGATTTACACGAATTTGGTACGTGAATTCCGACTGTTAGAATCAAATGGTGAAAAATACAGTTCAAGTCCACTAATGCAATTGCGACAAGTGGCCAATCATCCCTTACTGTACAGACGATTATATGATGATAACAGAGTGATTCAAATTGCCGAAATTTTGTGCGCAAAGGTTCATTCTTCAAATTTTCACTGCGTTTATATTTTGTGCGATATGTGTGTTGATGGAAAGTGACATGTTCGTAAAAAAATGACTTCAAAGCATTTTAGTTATTTTATGTTTGAATGGATACAAAAGAAGAAAGCACATGGTAAGAAAAGCAAGAAAATGAGGGGTAAAATGTATTTTTTTTTAAATAGTGGATAGAGATTTCAGTAATTAGCGCTAAAAACTTGAAAATCATAATTTTTTGAATTAAGCACAACATTCAGAATTTGCACATGAAATTATCCATATATCGTTTTAATTGTACTTCTGGTTGCAGTCTTTCTACAATCCAAATTTAACCTTAATCACCACCATCCGAATATTATGACTCTTATTTTGATTACTTTGTCAGGAGAGCTTCAGGAATAGAGATGTCTGTCACTGTTTCATTATTCTTATTATGCTAGCAAGTTAATTATGTTATCATCATTATGCTTCCAGGAAAATGAATATCGTAAAAAGAAATCAGACCATGTTGCTGAAGACCTTGCTTTTTTATCAGATTTTGCAATTAGCCAGTTATGTTCAAAATTTATTTCAACGCAGAAATTTGTTCTCAGCGAAGAGACCGCCCTTGAATCCGGAAAATTTAAGGAACTGGATAAGCTGCTACCTTCAATTAAAGAAAAAGTGGGTGTAAATAGTAAAAATTTTGGTCGCGATCATGAAATGACGTTTCTTCAGCTACACAAATTAGATAACACTTTGTGGTCTTTCAGGGAGATAAAGTGTTAATATTCAGTCAATTTACGTCAGTAATGGATATTCTTGAAGTTTATCTCAAATTGCGTCACTATCGATATTGTCGGTTGGATGGCTCAACTCCGGTTATGGAAAGGTACACTAAATTTCTACCGTAATTTTCGAATCTGTTTTACTGCAATAGATTGTTTTCAAATCTTCCAGGCAAGATGTGATCAATGAATATAATTTGTCGCCTGATTTGTTTGTTTTTCTGTTGTCAACCAAAGCAGGTGGTTTGGGTATCAATTTGACTGCAGCTAATCATATCATATTGCACGATATTGATTTTAATCCATATAATGATAAACAAGCGGAGGGAAGATGTCATCGTATGGGTCAAACAAAGTATGTTATCCCTCAAGGTCACCTTTGTATTCAAGAGAATTAATTTAATAGCTGTGTTTACTACTTTTAGAAGTTCAAGTTAAAGAAACTGATAGTCGTTTATTTCTAGATTATTATGTTAAGGCAAGTATTAACTTGTCGTTTAAAAGAATTTATGGAACATCTAGAAGATATTAAAAAGTTGCATTATATTTTTTGTGATAATTGTATTAAATGTAACGAAAATGACAAACGGTTTTTTACAGAGATGTTTTTGTTGTACGCTTAATATCTGCTGATACAGTTGAGGAGGAGATGTTAGCTCTTGCTCAAAAGAAACTTGAACTCGAGAAAGAAGTGACAGGTGCTAGCACAGAAGAAAGTAAAGTTTTTATTAATTTAAATGGATATATTAAATTCGGCAACAGATTTAAATCTCTATGGCCAAAATAAAATGTGCAATAGAACACTTTAACTGTAAAGGATTTCAATTCTGTATGTGGCTGATGCGAAAAGAAAAAACTTATGGTTTTCCCGTTTTTTAATTTCTTTTATTTTAGATAGCGAAATGGAAAATTTGATTGTCGAAAAGCTTCTTAAAAAGGCGCTTGCACTATAATCTATCTTCTAGTACACGCACTTCCGATTAAAATTATTCACCTCAAGAGATGCACCACGAGAGTGATCATTTGACCTATGTGCATGATTCTCAAAATTCTCATTGTTTATGTTTGCATAATTGTTTATTTGAAATATTGCTTCCTTTGCAAATGTTTGGAATTTAATCTTCCTTTTACTACTCTTTTCCCATTTCATAATTCAAAAAAAAAAAATTCTTTTTCCTTACTGTTTGTGGAAACTGATAAAATTGCTCGACAAATGAAAATGTGCTGTAATCATAGGTCTTCTAATTTTTTCTCGCTTTAGTTCCTTTTTTGTTTGACTACATTAGTGTCGTAGAAAAATGATTTCCAAATCAGTACATGACTGAGCAATTGTTACGCAGTTCTATTTCGGGAAATTCACATCACTCTCATTTTTTATTCTAAATTTCGTAGACTGCTTAGTACATAACAGAATTAGATTTGCTGTAGTGGAGTTGGAAATCAAATCCTTTTATTTTCAGACCGAAATGCACTGCATTTATGAAAACTTTGTAAATATGTAGATCTCCGATCCTATATCGTTTTATGATGATATTAGCCAATACCACTTGTTAACTGCCAGTCCTCTGTCATTCTATATTCATAACTTTGAATTCTCTTGACAGAAATTCCCACGTGCCAAGCACTTGAGGAAAAAAAATGCTTTAAGATCAATAGGAATTCCAGCCAATCATAATGTTGTATTGTATTTTTCCAGCAGTGAAAGCGCACTCTAATGACATCTGCATATCAAACAACTTTATACGAGCCCATTATGATAATCATGAAATCATAACGCTTGTTCCAATTTGTAATTGTGTATTCCAGGCTATTTCGAATTTTTTACTGCACTAAAACTGTATTTGGAGCTCGGAACTGGAACCCTAATTAATGGAAAGTTTTCAGATTTCTATTAAGACGGGTATATTCGCATTTGTTGTCTTTTTACTGATAAAAGACATGCCGTGCTGATCCTTTTCAACACAAAACAATACTGATAAGAAGCAGAAGCTACAGTCAATAAACCATCGACGCAGATGAGAAATCGAACACATGTGAAGTGCGTTCATTGAGAATTGATGGAATCCCCGAAACATTTTTTTTAGGTTAAAAACTGTATCATTAAAACATTTCGTACGTCATAGACTATCTTAAATATATCATTAAAATTTCGTACGTCATAGACTATCTTAAAGTTTCGACTGCAGAGTGGTTGAGGGAGGGCGATATATGGGAATGAATGGAAAGGAAAAATAAATAGTAAAAATAGGGGAGGTTGACCAAACAGGGGTCAAAGAGCTTGACAGTTCTAAGTGGAAAATATTATGAACAAAAGAAAGCAGAAAGGATTTCGCTGCTTCTGATGCTATCAACAAGAGAAAAGCTGACAAGATATTGTATAAAAAGAAAAAATTATATAAGTTCAATTTTCATGCAAATAAAAATACGAAGAAACAACTCTGTTCATTCTTGTCACCAAAAAGGAAATTCACTTGTTCTTTCAATAAATTGCAGTAGCTTTCACCGTCAGAAATTAGAGAAATATACGAATTCCCAGAGATTAGAGAGTTATCGGCAAATGGGAGTATTATTTGAATCATAACTTTTACTTCACTCATTACCTACACGTAATACAACCGTTCAGTTTAGAATGATGGCTCATTTCAATTTCTTTTCTTATTACAACAATAAATCATGATTTAAGATGAAATAAAATTGAAAGTACCCCGAATATGGAATAGAAAAAAGAACTCAAACTTTTGCTTATAAACGTAAAAAAACCGCTACTATTCAAACCCACAACCTGTATGTCTTCAAAGACCATTGATGAAATGACAAAAATATAACTAAGTGGTATTTACAAAAACTGCGCTGACAAATTGGCACTCATTCATTGGTATGTGATTATACCCTTCTATTATTAATATACCATTCGTTTGTCAAAGAGTCAAAAGAAGATAAGAGGGAACATCTGCAGATAAATTATTGCTGTTGCTTCACTGCTGAACTTCAATGGATGAGCTGATGGTAGCATACATTAGTGCACATTGGGTGCTGGCGGATCAGGAGCATCACCACCCTGCAGAAAACAAATTTCAGGTTAAGGAGTAATAGCGAAAATCTATCTTTAGGTTTCTCTAAACAGTAAATGAAAGCAGAACGTCTAGTTTTACCAAACAGAAATCCAGGAAAAATGACAACACAGAAAAAGAGAACAAGAACGTGCGTTTCTGAAACCGTGCTGAATAAGTGATATTTTTGAAGATTCAAATTTATAAATTGAAATAAGAAAAAAAGAATGCAGAAAAAAATATAACTGGTATTGTCGAAAATACGAAAATACTTGTTAAAATTTCTAATTGAAATCTCCATATTTTCATAAAAAGTTATAGAAAATCTCATTATACTTACTGAACGAGGTCCCGGTTTTCCCAATGCATCTGATCTTGAACGCATCGAATTAGGACGCATAATAAACATCGCAACTGCAAGTATGGCCCACAAAATGACAATCACCATTAAATTGTTGGCACCAAAACTTGCACCTTGCGGACCCGGCAAATCTTGAACACATTCAGAATCCGTGCAATAACCCTGTGAATCCCGTAACTGAAACAATGTAAAATAAAATGCTCTCATCCATTATACATCTTATCTCGCTTATTAATATTTCAACCACTCACTAATCCTAGAGCAAAAGAAAACTTTTAACCATTGTGCGATATATGCTGAATATCTCGAGACACACCACTTCTCCATGAAAAACTGTTAATACCAACAAATAATTTTCTAGAATGGCTGCTCATTGTGATGTGTTTTATAAATGTAGCACATTTCACACAAACGTTCAATCCAATAAAAAGATTAAATGGGCTAATTGCTATGCAATTCTATTTTCATGTGCTTTAATTCCTTCAAAAACTATATGACTATTTCATCTCTTTTATTTAATGAAATAAACTTCGAAAAAATGAGAAAAAAAAAGAAATTTAGTAATTAATACTTTACCAATGAAAGTAAACGTCTCATAGCAGTCTCATGGTTGAACAAACATTCACATGGATCGTCACTCATTTTCCACTATGTATCAATTGATGACAGATCGTTAGTTGTGCGAATTTCTAAAAAATTCCGTCATATCCATCTGTTCATATCTATCTTGATCAAATCACATCTATCTTGTTCAGTCGCAAAAACTTCCGGTGGAAACTAATCCAACGTTAAAATTCAGTCGGAAAAAGAGGATATCAGAAGGAATGTCAAAAGTGAGTTAGGAACAAAAAGAAAAAATAGCAAAGAAGATGAGGAGGATCGAAATTATAGCGTGAAATGATAAATTGAATAGATAATTTCATATTCCTTTCATATAGATAGCATATTTATATAGAATAACAGGACGATCCGAATGCCACGTCAGTTACTAAGTACCACCCATTCCTCATATGCTTTCTTTCTTTCCTTCTTTCTCTCTCTCCCTTCCTCTGTTCTTCTCTCATTTTCATCATAATAGCTGCATAACATATATTTCCCTGTTTTAGATCGCAAAAATTATCACTTTTCAAAAAAGTAACAAAAGTAAATTCAGCATTTTCTACAAGAAAATCGTCATCATAACAGTCAAAACCATGATAATCAATGATAACGAACTAATTGATTGCAACAAATCAGAATGATACCTCACAACCAAAGAAAGAATCAAAAAGAAAAATGAAAGAGCAACCCGTCGTTAAACCTGTTGCAGATGCAAATGATTGGCATCCTTCAATATTTCCATCAAATAAAACCTTTCTTTATTTTAAGTATGCTTATTAAATCGACAAAATGCCATACAAGTAAGCAAATAAACACACACACACACACATACACACACATACACACACACACATACACACACATACACACACACACACATACACACACATGTCTATCGGTAACCAAAACTTCTAATTAGAAATTTCACCCCCAACATTTTATCATATTCCGCCTCCATCAAAACAGCAAAACCATCGATCGCCCCATTGCCACTATCACATACACACACACACACACACACATAAACAAGTCTGTCAGACACACAGACACACGCACACACATACGTGCATACATAGAATCGTCCTATCAGCAGCCAGTTTCGTTATGATACGTCAGCGTGAATGGAAAGAGAACAAATAACAAGCTGGTTGGATGACTTCGTTCAAATTTCAGTTTATATAAATTTCACTAAAACTCGTTGAAATGCTTGCTTAGATCGATGCCTTTCAAAAATTTCTAACCATTTATCGTTCACTTTCCCCGAAAACGAATCATTTATTCATTACATCCATAAATTATCAAAAATTTTCTAAATATATTATATGAAAGGTGAGAGGAATGATGTGATGAAAGTTACTGATTCAATTCTCCTATAATCATCATGGAGTATAAACGATGGTGAGGTGCAAGGACAGAATGCCTGCTCATTCCGAATAAAGATTTTCAGTGTGTATTCAACACTTTCGCAGGATATCGAAAAACTACAGTCCTTTTTCATCACTAACAAACGCATTAAATGTAACACTCCAATGATATCCCTGAACAGATTCTCGATGTCTCTCTGATAATTTTCGTGATAAAGTCTTTAATTTAAATAATCACAGTGAAATCCGAAAACTGCTAGAATAGATATGTGCGTTTACACGAGAAGAAACATACACACATCACTGTTTGGGGAGTTCATTCTCGACTAGAAGAGATGCATCAGAACCCGAGGTCGAAGTATTTTATCTCACATTTTTCGAATGATGAAGAGGTTATCGATCATTTGTGACGACCAGTGCAATTGTAGCTTTAGAGGATATCCTCTTCCTATCTCAGTACGAAAAAAAAAGAATCCAAAGCAACAAATGCGAAACCAACTTTTATTTTTCCTCTCGTATAGTAATTGATTGGTCATTTGCTATCCAAAATGCTTCCGACATCTCAACTTTAAGATTTCCGACGTATTGGTAATGATCACTCTATGTTTGGAAATCCGAAAAATACACTTTTTGACAGTAATTCATCACATTAATCCATTCGAACACAGACATAACAATAAATATGAGAATTTGAAGTACAACTGATGCGTACCTCGCTAAGCTCATGCGAATCACTAATCCTAAAATCATTTACAAGAAAATAAAAATACTTAACTATTAAGGATAATATCAACACGGTCAAGGAAGAAATGAGTATTCTTTCCCACTCTTATTTACAATATCTCGAATATTTCTTATTCACCGTACAAGTGAAGAGTTAGAAAGAGAACTTGTAAAAACACAACATGACAATCCAGCTGATAAATTTCAGCTAAAACGAAAACATTTGACTTGATGATATTAAAGAAAAAATAAAAATAAATGAGAGTACTTCCTCTTTTAGCAGCATTTTATATAACATCATTTCCGGCTATTTTTTTTATTACCGTTCCTTATAATCGTCTAATGTAGTTAAAAGGTTAATTTATTAGAAAATCTATCCAATATCTTATAGATGTGAGGAATTTTCTTCTAAAATCATTCAAAATATATGTAATAATTAACTTGCACTTTAAATATCAAATAGCTGAGGTAATCGCATTCAAGAGATCTGACAATTTAAACAGAAATAAAAGAAAGCAATGTAGCTAACACACCCTAAAAATTCAACAATGTTTAATTTTTGTTATCAAATCAATGGGTACTCAATGTAAAATATATCTCAGTGGTATATAGATTTGTTATATTTTGATAGCAGTAATCAAAATTCGGATTTCAACAAAGGAATTTGTCACAAGAACTAAAAATTTAGATTCAAAACATAGGCAAACTACAAACTTCCTAGGAACATTTAAAAATAAATGTTACAGTAACATACATTACTTCTCATCATCAACAACATTCATAGCACTGAAGTTCTTATCATTGAGTAAGTGCGAATTCCTGGTTTCCATTTGGTTAACGAAATTGGTTAATTCACTAAGGAAATGTTCATAATTTGTTAATGGTCGCAACTGCTCGCGTATCCATCGTGAAATTTTTTTGGCATTTGGATTTGTTTGTGTTTGCAACAATCGTTCATCAAGCATCAAAATCGACCCCCAATCGGAACGGTGTCGTAAACATCTACAGTGTTCTCAGGAAAGATGAATAAAAATCTTTCATCTTGATTTTCATGGATTTGATTAGAAAGAGTACTGTCATTAACTGCCAACTTTTAAAATGTTTGGAAAGAAATTCATGAGGGAGTCACTATGACACTATTATTCATAATATTCCTAAATAGTGCAATTTATTAACAATAGAAGTGATTACACGATAATATAATAAGTTGTATTACTGAAAAAATTAAAGATTTTCAGTTTACCTTCCCAAGGCTTGATTGAGAGCTCTATATGCTTGCATCGTATACCATTCATCACCCGACAAGATCCGTAATTTCGCACAGTAATCATCGTTATACTTTTTCTTTTCAACAACCTGAAATAAAACCATGATCGAAGAGCATGAGAAAAATAAGAATTGGGAAGAAATATCCATTACTTTTAGAAGATTAAAAAAATTCAAATTTACTTGCTCATCCATAGCATTGGGAAATGGTATACCAACTGTCACCACGCAACGAGCTCTATCGTCAGTGAAATCGATGCCTTCCGATACCTTTCATAAAAATTAAGGTAAGAAAATAATAAAAGCCTTTATTGAAATCGTTGTTAATTCCAGCTATGTAAACAATGGCAAAGTAAAAAAAAAAAAACTCTAACGACTACCTAAAATACTACAGCTTGAAAATTAACCGTATGAAAAAAAAGAAGTCTAAAGAGATACAGAATTGTCAGATATGGTCAGGAACTTGAAACAATAGTCTGAAAAAATGAGTTTTTTAATATTGTCAAAACTAGAATAATTTTAAAAATTCAAATAATTACTTTGCCTCTAAAAACTGCCATCATCAATGCGCCGGTACACTGTGGTCCGAAGTTCAAGGGATTAACAATTGCATTTTCATACTGCATCATAACAGCACTCATTAGTGATGAACGTCGTGGTTCTTTCAAAACAACCTAAAAACAGTAAAATTAATTGTGGATAAAGAAATTTGTTTTTTTTATCCACTTTTTGGTCCATTGGTTTTAAAAAATATGCAAAATGAAATTATGACAAAAAGCAAAACTAATAAAGGAATTTACAAAAGATGGAGAATGTGCAACTATATCGCTCGATCTTTGATCTTATTTAAATCTGAGATTCAAGAACAGACTTTGCAAATTTTTAGTCGTAGGTTCCAATGGAGTATTCAGTGTTCGTTGATGCGTTTTGCAGTGATTGATTTCTAGATATTAAAATCTGTGATAATTACCTTGATATTTTGTATTTGTCTTAAAATACCCATCGTTTCCATATATTCATAAATTTGATCCAAGACACGATAACTTGAGCAAAAACATAATACACCTTTTGGTATTATTTTACAAATATGGCTAAAAAAGATGGAATACATTTTTTGCTAAATAAAATAAAAGGAGGGCAGCTGCTCAGAGATTTAAGTAATAAAAAAGGTAATATAAAAAAATTGGAAACAGATAAAGGAACATGTAGCGAATAGTGGACTGTTTACTGAATGCAAGCACTTTCTGCTGGTAATACACTGTGCTAGATACATTAGAGAACTGAAGTTCTAAAAAAATTCGATCTATCAGCTGTTCAAGCAGAAATACATGACAGTATCTTCTTTCTTGCTAGGAGTTTCTAGAAATCTGTCTTATCTTTTCAAAACCATGACTGAATTAGGACAATTCTCTGAAACCATGACAAACAAAAGAACCTCAGAATCAATGAAATTTCCCGTATAAATCGATCATCTCGGTTGATAATTCTGTAAGTACCACATAATTTTTCACCGCTTGGTCCCTGCAACACTTCTATTATTTCTTCAATATTTTTTAAAAGAAAACATTGTAAAGACTAAAATGAAACTCACAGATGGAATTACTGCAGCGAAAATTTGTTCATTTGGTATAATTTGATATCCCTCCATTTCTTGCTGAAAAGTAGTACCAAGTTCGGTACGAAGAGTGTCCGTTGGGGAAAGTGTACCGGAAGCTAAAATAACGCTGCGACATCCTTTGAATGCATCTGCATAAGCCTGAAATACTAAGCCACTTTATTAGGAAATAAATTTGATGACAGTACTTAAATTCTGGAGTTGGGTAACTTATAATTCAGCTTTTCAAAGTAATTCAATTATTTCTTGACACAAATCTATCATTATAATTCTAACCAGCGATGGGCGCATACACCAAAAACTGATTGCAACACGATAGCCATACTTCACTTCGCGATATCCTTTCAGACGCGTCTTTGAATCTAACCATACTTCCTTTTCTTTATCGTATGAACTCATATCTAAGATCTCAACCTGAAATTTGAAGTATGACGGATTACAGAGAATCTATTCGCTTGTTCTTTGAGACCACTTTGAGCATCTGTAATATCAAATGCCGTAGGAAACAATACAACTAATGGTTAGTGCCTTTTTTACGATATGATCCAGAATATACAACATTCACTTACCGTTAACGAACCACATAATTAATGCATGTGACCTATCTTTTATTATATTTTCAGTTCAAAAAAAAAGAAAAATCAAACATACATTATTTAACGAGTTCTTTACTGTATCAAAAATAGTTGATTGAGAATATGGTACAAATGGCTTGTCGATACATATAAAGAGTCTGCAAAAAAATCAGTGGGGAACACTTTTTTCTCAATAATATTTCAGGTAAAACAAAAGTTAAGGATGTTTCACAAAATTATTACCACTAATTCTGACCAAAAACTTACTTATAAGCAGTACGATTATCATCTCGAAAATATGACTTGAAAAAATACAAAAACTTTTCCACACAAACAGCTGTTGTAGCACAGGGCTTATAATATTTTAAGCAGGACTGAAACTCATCATTTTCATTACCTGCACCAGTAATAGATACAAATGCTTCCTGAAAAAAAGACTAATTTAAAATCACTTTCTAATCTTGACAGATTATATTAAAGATTTAGAACTACGAACAGCTCTAGTCTCGCTTTTTCACAAAACCCTTCTTCTAAAGCTTTAAAATATGAAGAGTTGCTATATTTCAGCCAAACTGCAGCAGAGTAAAGACTAGGGGAGATACGTTACGAAACAGCTAAAAATTAAACCAAAGTTACTATGAATTCTTCCAAATTGAATTGTTAACTCTAAGAGTCATCTAAAAAACTACCTGGAGTTAAATCTTTAAAAAATTGGATATAGAATTCTATTTTGAAATACTTCAGAGTAGACTGATGATACAAATTTTTACATCTTACCAACAGACCCGAATAAGCGGTTCCTTTACCGGTTTTGTCAAATATATTCAAGTCGTTGCTCAGGAATGTTGTAAAAAGCTTTTCCCAACTGTAAGTATAGGTAAGCCGATCCTTTTTCATTGGTGCCGATTGCAGCGCATTCGATGATATACTCACAAACCAGTCCAATATTTTGTTTAAAAAATTAATTACCTAAAAAACATAATATTATACATCATATACATTTTATAAAACAGTCTTGAAATGAATCGCATGGTTTTATGTGTGGTGTTTTAGCTATCCGGAGTCAAATCAGATCTAATATTGAAATCTTAACCAGTCTTCCACTGAATGCAAAAGCAAAGCTATTCTAAAATCAACTCGATTCGATTCAACAAACACGAACTGTTTTAAAATGGCCCTTCATCATTTCCAAATATTCTTTATATCTTCCCGTTCTGTTATCTTCTGTTTCAATCAATCCTTCTTCCGCAACAATTTTAGCATCCACTTTTGCGAGCTCTTTTTCAAGTTCTGTTGCTGAAAAGGATTTCTATTGCAGTAAAAGATCTTAAATCATAAAGAAGAAGCTAAGACAAAGAACATTTTTGGGAGCTACAAGTTTTCTAACCTTTCTTATATAAATCTGCAGCTGCGTCAACCAGTTCACGCTCCATGAATGTAAAACTAACAGCTTCACGGCAAACATCTTCTACGTTATGCGCTTCATCGAGGATAACTACTGCGTTTTTCAGGCTTAAACCAGAACTAGCGCGGATAATAGGATCTGCAAAAACTTATTCGATAACGTTTTGCTGGAGAACTCTGTCTTAATCTTTCAAAATTTCACTATAATAAATCTTATACAAACGACAAACGTCACAAAGGATACGTACCAATAAGATAAGAAAACGGGCAAAAAATAATATCAGCATCATCGAGAAGTACTCGAGCTGTTGAAAAATAGGGACAAAGTGGTGGTGTGGAACATTTTAATGCTTCAACAAGATCCTCTACATCCCAGATACAATTCGTCTTTCCAGTAGTTTGTGCAACCAAACGTCTTATTGCATTCGGTCTTTCATATTTTCCACGCATTGAATTTTTGTATAAACAACCAATCTAAGCAAATTCGACTTCAAATTTAAGAATCACTTAAAATTTCAAATAAAGTATGGATTCATAAATTTTTTTGCAAGTATCGACGTCAGTTCCAAAATTAGACTTGGTATCATAGAAAGAGAAACAATATTTGCGGCGGTATTTTTTATATGTTCACTGAATTGCATGATTCTCATATCTTTGTTGGTGTTTGCTTTCCTGTTGTTAATTTTCTTGTGTTAAATTGTTTAATTTTGATTGAGATCATATTCAAACTTATGATATGCCTATTAATTATTAACATTTTTTTGGAACGGACATGAAATGTTATGTTTGTTTGTTATATGTTTAAGGTTCTTAATTTTTTTCTATTCTTTTTCTGTTTTTGTTTTAAGCTTTCTGATTTCAGCTCGGACTTTGCTACTTATACGCATAGTGTTAGTAATTATTATATTATAATTATGCAATTAAAAATCACTACAGAAAATTAGAGAAAAAAACATTTCTTAGTATCTAAATAACATCTACAGTGGATATATCGCAGAGACTGCTGATATATTTCCGGTGCAATTTATTTGGAGAATAATACATGATCGAAACTACGAAACTACTCGATGTAAACGAAATATTTCTATTTCATATAATACTTCTTGAGTTGTCTTGTGAACTCAGAGAACTTTGAGCACACAAAGTTGCAAATAGTAAGAAAAGTTAGACGCAACATTCGTTTAGTATACAACATGAAAATAAAATTTTAAATTACCCCATCCGAAGATATGAATTCTTTACATTTAGTATTGATATCATCACTAGCACGTATTGCTGGATTGATACACATATGTTCACGACTTGCCAATATTGTGTGCCTGTAAGAAAATCATCTCTTTAATTTCAACGATGAAAATCATTGATAAAATCAATAGAATAATAAAATAAAGTGAGTGTAGACTCAGTGATAGTAGTATTAGCACTACTTTTTCTTAAGATGAGGGGACTTTTTTAAAAGACAAGGCATTATCAGTAAATCGAAAGGCACTTTTATAGCAAATTCAAGCAAGTGTATCCAAAATTCGTCTTAAAAATTTCTCTAAATGGAAACAATGTTGAAAGCATTCCTATCTCTTCTCTTCCTCTTCATTTGCTTCCCGTCGTCAGGTTTCGGGAAACAAGTAATGAGATTACAAAGCTCAGGTCAAAGTATCTAAGGGCTGTCTATATGGTGGCTTAATCGTAATGATGTCAATTCCCAAATTCCAACTTAAATTTAAAAAAATTCCTTCGTTGAATCCACTAATAGAGGCACTGTAACAACATAAAGTGGAATTGTATAAATAAAATCAAGTCAAACTATATTATACGATACGAGTAATACATTACTTTATGATGCCTTCCTGTCCATACGGTAAGCGTGAGAATTCTTTTACTACTTGGCTAATTTGTTTATGTGTTCGCATTCCATAGTATACTGTTATACGTCTAAATGAAAAAAGTAATTATGAAATAATCATTTTAGAACATCTGCAACAAAAAGATGATGAACCTCATCATTAAACTCATCATGTTTAACTTGTAGTTTGTGGATTAATGCAATAATCGTCAACACAAAACAACAAATAAAAAATTTCAAACTTAGAAGAAATGAAGGAACATTGACACATAATAGAAACTTACGGTAAACAAGTGTGGCCTTCTTCCTCATTTTTCTTCACAATTTTGCTATCATCCAATGAGGCAATACCCTCTAACTACAAATTTATGTCATATTAAGCACTCATTGCTTTCTTCCCTTATATTCCCTTTGACGTGTTTCAAATAATTTGTTTTTCAGATAATAAATAAATGCAATAATCACTACTGATGTTAGATGAAATAATTTATAAACATAGCTCACCTTATTCGATGCGATTGATGAGCTTGTAACTGCGCAAAAATCATTCTCAAATTCATCTTCTACTGAAAAAAATCTCATATCACTTCTCGCACGACAAAAAAGTATGCATAGTAAAGCACTCTTATTCTAAAACACTCCATTATAAGTTTCAATCAAAGGAATATTTGCATATGGTTTTTGAAACAGATGCTAAACCTTATTTTTCTTTACCCTGTCAAATTAGGTAGCGATCGTTTGCTGTTTCTAAACGAACACAAATCATCTTTATTGATTTCAAATTGCATACAAAAACCTTTACTAATTTTAATTCTATATTAAAAAATATTTTTTAACAACAGATAAAAAATGACTTACATGTAGAAAATGATTCGGCATCACATCTACAATCAGCTGATGCAGCATTCTTATTCTTACTGTTATTATCACTCATATCATTATCGCTTAATTCACCAAACAATATGATTTGATCTGTAATTTTATTCTCAATATATCCACTGTTAACATCACCTCGACATGCTCTGCATTCATTTCGCGATTGTGTACGTTCTCTTTTGTATCTTTCAAGCCAAGCACAACTTGCTGATAAAAGTCCAAGTGTTTTGCCTAAATTATTTAATTTTTCTCCGGGTCGAAAAGAAAAAGTTTAAAAGCAATATCTATTGGATAATTGAGAAAACCTTAAGCATAAAAAATACTGAAAAATCTTATTAGAAATTTTACACTGTAGGATGAAATCAAATTTCGAAACTTATTTCAAACAGGAATTAATGTACCATTTCCATATTCCTCTTTACAAGGTTTGCTTTACTATACAAGAAATATGACACTTGAGAAGTTTTTTTACTTGAAATTTTAATTAACAACCAACCACTCCCTGTTGGGCTTTCAATCAGCGCATTAAGTTTATTCTTTAAAGTAGTAAGAATTTTTGCAATCATTGTTCGTTGCGTAGCATATGGTTGTATATTTGGTGGTAACTTAATCATATATCCACAAATTAGCAAATCCGTATAACTGAGTGACTGATAATTCATCTTTGAGGAAAGTCTCTCGGATGATGATCTTCCATTACCTGTTAATATATAGCATCAATTACGACAACAAAAAATTATAAAACTCTCTATATAATAATAAACTCTGAAAGTAATGATTTATCTTTAATTTTTAACTATCGTTAAACTTGGGACATATTTTTAACAGGAGTGATACATCACATTTACAGTAACTTGTGATGTTATTTGTCCCTTCCTAACACAATTCTATAATTCAATTACTTCTGACATATGTTTATCATCCCATGTACTATATTAAGTTCTCATTCGTAAAATCTACCCTTAGCTTTATCTGTTTAAACAGAAAAATTCGTGAAACAATTGAAACAAGTTCATGAAATAATTTATCAAAAATTCATGCAATAATTTTTTTGAAAAGATGTGTAAATGATTCACCGGGTGATGGCGTCATATACTTTTGATTAGTGGTACTCAAACGGACATCACTTCGACGTTTTCGATTATTTAAATCTTTTCGAATGGAAGACTCTGCCGTGTTAGCACACATTTTTCTCAGCACCACAAAAACTTCGAATTCTTAGTAAAATCAAATGATATCAAATAATAATTTCCTATAAAATGCTCGAGAAACTATTATCCAGCATGAATTAAACTTCGTTGCAGATTACCAAAGAATCACGAAAAATTATTAGCTTGTCAAATGAGCAAATCACTGAATAACACCCAGCATATTTGAAATTCTAATCCAACAGGAAACAAATTTTCACAATGTACCGCTGCTTGCCTTATTTACGGTTTCAACACCATCGATCCATATAAGCTATCAAAATTTAAGTTTGAAAAAGAATTCGCCGCTATACAAAGCGTGCTGAAAGTATTTTTAGTCTCGAATTATTTGCTGAACATCTACTTTGCAAGATTTTCACATAATACAACACTGGGTCTAATGCTTCTAATCTTCATTGGCATGATAACGAGGCAGTCAAAATTCAATTCAAAACCATTGTTCATTTCCAGATTAGCATTACTTTCTGAATTTCATTCTTCCTTCATCCTCTTCTGCAATTTTCAAACACACTTCCAGACCTCTATCGGCCTTCTGTGCTTAAAAAATTATTGTTTTGCTATGTAATCCTTTATACTCGTGTCTCTTGCATGCTCTATCTGCTCTTGTACCCGTGTTCTTTGGATTTTATTTTCTAACTTCTTTATGTCTTATGGATTTATGTTTAAGCTCGCATTATGTTGAAGTATCCGATGCACTTTCATGTTTGATCACTTAGATCCGATGCTGAGGTTCTACACCAGAGCCAACACAACTTTGGCTAATATTATATCGAAGTTGGTTGAAGCCGGCATTACACTGAAAGCTGGTTGAAGATGTTTATCGTGTTACAGCAACTCCTTTAAGGTTCTTAGTCCCCTTTTCTTAACATGTACTTCTGGGAAAATTTTTTTGCAAGTACGTCACAAACTTATAACTTAGACTAGCTTGTAGAAGATGACTCCGGTAATAAAATCCCCACGATTTTTCTCGTCATCGTATCATTACGTTAACACACTTGCGAAAAAATTATTTTCCAGACCATATTAAGCGTTAAAAAACCTTTTCCTGATGATGTTGACAAAATCGAACAAAAATGTTTTATTACATATTTCGAAAAAAAAAAACAAAAGGAAAAATGCCGCATTAATGGTAACGACAAAAGAATAAAATGAAAATACCAGTGAGCGAATATGCCCAACAATTTTTAGCTTAAAGAGAACAACGAGAACCATTTTCCGCAAATAAGGGTTGGGGAGAATGAAGTGGAAATGGAGGGACAGGAATGGGCCGGTAAAGAAGATAAGTCGAATGGCCACTTCATAATAGTGTATACTCAAAATTTTTTCAAAAGAATCTTTTCCAACAGAAATAACCCCACCGTTACAAAAAGAGAAATTCCCAATAAGGGTGCAGTAAGGAAGCGAATATGAATTTCAGAATATTATTTTCCTTGAGGAAAAAAGAAAAAATGAAACGAACTACATATCCTTTCTGGGAATGTGAATGAAATCTCTCCGCAAATTTAAACGATGTTCCCGGTAAATCTGTCTATGGCCATACCAAACGATTTTAATGAGAACATTTAAAAACGAAAAACGATTTAGTCCCAAAATCGGTGAATAACTTTCGACTTTTATTTGCAGAAAGAAAAGAAACTGATGCAATATAGTTGTATGCAATAATTGGAAGGGGAGTACGGGCAAACAGGACTGTTTAACTTAGTACTTATGTTGCATTTGCTGATAGTTTTCCCGAAAAGTTTCAAACGGTCGAAACATTAACAGGAATTAGCAACAGCAGCAACATCCTAGAAACATTTACGATGAACGATTGATGGTCCCGATTCATCGTATTCTTGCTTCGAGATCCACATTTGTTGGAAGGTGGATAGTGATGCCAGGATAGAACCGCCAATCCAAACCGAATATTTACGCTCTGGTGGTGCAATGATCTTGATTTTCATTGTGCTAAAACAAACAACTGAATTAAACTAAGTCTCATTACTGCAAGACAGTTGACACACATAAAAGTATTCATCACGAGATTGTGAATAGTATAAAGGCTAACAATTTAACTTTCTTTCGGACCCAATGTACAGATGCAACAACTACAATACATCAAAATCAGCACTAGACACTGTGCACAGACAGCAATGCCTGCCTAGATTATTGTACCTCAGCAAAAACAACTAACCTTGGGGCAAGTGCAGTAATCTCTTTCTGCATACGATCAGCAATGCCTGGGAACATTGAAGTACCTCCTGAAAGAACAGTGTTCGCATAAAGATCTTTTCGAATATCTACATCGCACTTCATAATGCTGTTGTACGTCGTCTCATGAATACCAGTCGACTCCATTCCTAAAAACAAAATCGTTTAAATCAAACAACATGTGCTGCGATTGCATTAAAATCTTTAGCAATTAAAAGGAAGAAATAACACCAACGAATATACCAAGGAATGAAGGCTGGAACAGGGCCTCGGGGCATCGGAATCGCTCGTTGCCGATAGTGATGACTTGTCCATCAGGCAGTTCATAGCTTTTTTCCAATGATGATGACGATGCTGCAGTAGCCATTTCCTGCTCGAAGTCCAAAGCTACATAACACAGTTTCTCTTTGATGTCTCGAACGATCTCACGTTCCGCTGTAGTCGTGAACGAGTAACCGCGTTCAGTAAGGATCTTCATGAGGTAATCGGTAAGATCACGACCAGCCAAATCAAGACGCAAAATTGCATGTGGTAGTGCATAGCCTAAAATGGTGCTTTGTGATCAGATCAATAAGTCTATACAATGAAGGCCGTATATCGCCTCAAGCAGGTAATCAATGATTCTGGAAAAAGCTACAACACACTAAATTTAAATTCGAGCAGAAAGTATGGATATTGTATATGGAACCAAATAAAACAGATACCTTCATAAATTGGAACAGTATGCGTAACACCATCACCAGTATCAAGCACAATACCAGTTGTACGACCAGAAGCATACAAGGACAGGACTGCCTGGATTGCAACATACATAGCTGGGGTGTTAAAAGTCTCAAACATGATCTGTGTCATTTTCTCTCTGTTTGCCTTTGGGTTCAACGGTGCTTCTGTTAGCAAAACGGGATGCTCTTCCGGTGCTACTCGCAATTCGTTGTAAAACGTATGGTGCCAAATCTTTTCCATATCATCCCAGTTGGTCACAATACCATGTTCAATTGGATATTTTAGCGTGAGAATACCTCGTTTCGATTGAGCTTCGTCGCCGACATACGAGTCCTACAAATTAAAATATCTTCTACATGTAAAATACGCATCTTTGCTGAAACATAACTTTTTAGCTTACAATTTCATCACCTATAACCTATCAAGGGGATAAATGAAAAATAAGAATCTGTCGTTAATCACTTTGCAAAGCACCAAATATGACGATGTCCGACGTACACTCATTCCACCGCAAGCGGCATACCGAACTATACAACTGTGAATCTCAATAAATTCCAGGTAAACACCTACCTTCTGTCCCATCCCAACCATAACACCCTGATGTCGTGGACGGCCAACAATGGATGGGAAAACAGCACGTGGTGCATCGTCACCGGCGAAACCAGCTTTACACATGCCAGAACCATTGTCGATTACAAGAGCAGCAACGTCGTCGTCACACATTTGTTTCGTTTATAGTTTATACTATTGATATGAGATATGTAATTCCACGGTACAAACCTCTATTACGAGATATCCGCTGCAACAAAATTCATTAACTGAAATACCATATAAACACAGTCAGAGACGAACACGCACTTCAACTTCCAATTTGACTGTAAGATACAAAGTTATAATAAGTAATTAAAT